CAAACACGATTGGGACGAAGGTATCCCATTCCTAATGTTACGCCAAAGAATCCGTACAGGAATCGTTGGGGTTCAGCCCATTTGAATTAATATTTGGGCATTCAGTCCGCGGTCCTTTAAAGGTACTGAGGAAGGTTTGTTGCGGAAGACCCAGTAACAGAAAATTTGCTGGAATATGTTTCACGTTTCCGAACCCGACTAGCAGAAGCATGTGAACTGGCCCGCGAGAACCTCCGGTCGGTTCAGCATAAAATGAAAGATCGACACGACCGAGACACAGTCGAATCTAAATTTCAGTGTCGGGGATAAAGTACTAGTGTTATTACCCTTGCCCGGACATCCTCTCAAAGCTCGATTCCATGGCCCGTATGAAGTGGTCAGGAAGGCCGGTGACCTCAACTACGTCGTAAGAACCCCTGATCGCAGGAAGTCGACGCAGATGTGTCACATTAACATGCTTAAGCCTTACTATGAACGGGGGAAAGACCGACCCTGTGTTAGTAATCAGTGGGCCTAACACTATGCCCGAGCCCACGGAGATCCGAGGAGAAGTTATGGAAAAGGGGTGACCACCCCACCAAACTTTTACAACTCTGAGGTACTAGCTGACCTAAGTGCGAAGCTGTCGCATTTAGCCCTTGAGGAGAGGAAGGATTTAGCCTCTCTTATCGAGGATTTCAGGGGCCTGTTCCCTGACGTACCCAACCAAACCACCGCTACTTATCATGATGTGGAAGTAGGAGATGCCACCCCATTAAACAGCATCCCTACCGAGTCAACCCACGGAAAGCCGAAATCCTACGTGGAGAAATAGCCTACATGCTAGAGAAACGGCATTATCGAATAAGCCAAAGCAGTTGGTCCTCCCCCTGCGTGCTAGTGGACAAACCTGACGGCTCAGTTCGGTTTTTGCACCGACTACGAAAAGGTGAACTTCGTCACTAAAGACGGACTCGCACCCCATTCCCAGGATGGACGACTGTATTGATAAAGTAGGCAAGGCTACTTATATTCTGGCTCGATTTGTTGAAGGGTTATTGGTGTGCCCCTAACCGAGCGCCGCTTAAGGAGATATCTGCTTTCGCGACTCGGATGGCCTGTATCAATACCGCGTGATGCCTTTTGGGATGAAAAATTCCCAGGCCACCTTCCAGCGAATGATGAACCATTGCCTGCGAGATCTGGCTGGTGTAGAGACGTACATCGATGACATAGTCGTGTACAATAACACCTGGGCCGAACACACATGATATCTCTACGAAAAGTCTTCGATCGGTTAAAGCATGCCAATCTCACCATTAACCTTTGCGGTGTGATTTCTGCCAGGCAGAAGTGACGTATCTCGACACGTTGTCGGCCATGGGCGGATAACTCCGATCGAGGCAAAAATACAAAGTATAGTTAAGTACCCAGCCCCGACCAATGTAAAAGGCCTGAGGAGATTTCTCGGAATGGCGGGTTACTATCGCAAGTTCTGTAAGAATTTCTCTGATATAGCCTCACCGCTTACCCAACTGTTGAGGAGGAAAGCCAAATTTGATTGGACACCCGACTGATCCTTTGATCAAATAAAAGCCCTATTGTGCTCAAACCCTGTCCTCAAAGCTCCTGAATTTACCTGACCGTTCAGGTTAGCTGTAGATGCAAGTGACCATGGCATTGGCGCAGTATTACTACAGACCGATGCAAATGGTATCGAACACCAAGTCAGTTATTTCTCAAAAAATTCAACAATCACCAGAAAAATTACTCTACAGTAGAAAAAGAAACTCTTGCCCTTTTGTTAAGTTTACAACACTTCAAAGTGTATGTGTCTTCGTCCAGTCAGCCTACTTTAGTATATACTGACCATAACCCACTAACCTTCCTCAGGAAAATGAAGAATACGAACAGGCGACTACTGTGCTGGAGTTTAGCGTTAAAGAATACGATCTAACTATTCAGCACATAAGAGGCATCGACAATGTGTGTGCTGACGCCCTGTCCCGTATCTGATCGATAAGCCTTTGAGGATCAAACGGGACGAAAACAATCTCTTTTTTTTTTTTTAGAAACTGCCGTTAATGGCATTTTTTTTTTTTTTAGGGAGGTGTCACGTAGCAACGATTTCATTAACCATATAGGTGTTAGGCTAAAGTAAAATCTTAAATAAAGAGAAAATTAGTTAGATATAAAAGAAAGATAAATAGATAAAAACAGAAATTTAATCCAATGCTTCCGATTCGCGAGCGAATATATTCTATGATCAGCCATACCCCCCCTCTTCTCTTCACAAATTCTTTCTCTCCCTATCCTCTCTTCCACCCGCCAGCCAAGGGCCCGTGAACTTAGAAGTGACCCGACGTGAGGATGACCTGGTTCTAAGATTTCGCGTTTGACCATGAGTAAACTCCAGACACCATCAGGGTCTCATGCTGCGATTCACATGATCGGGACGTCACGGAGCATGCGTTGAACTTTTGGCCATCACACAAACACTGCGTGATTTGCGCCTATTCTCCCGCGTACCCGGTCAAGGACGAAGGGAACCCACGTGACTGTCTGTGGGGACAGCGAAACCAAAGAAGGATTTTTCAGTTTCCCTCTGACCAGCGGCAGTTGAACATCGCTGGGCAAAAAATCGTCAGACCGCCCACTGAGATGAGGAAGACCACGAAGTCTATCGACCAGTGATTGAACACTTGCGAAAAGAAGAAGAATCCAGGAACATTGTCGGCTGGCCAAGATACTGATTTATCATCAGAACTCTCGCTTGGCGAATCAAAACTTTGTGAAGATACCAGCCCGACTGCAAGATAAGTTGGTTCTTTTGGCTCGATCTATTTTCATATATGTATGTATTCGTCGCGCCTTCTATTCTTTACTGATGTCCTCCCCTTTGTTAAATGAATGTTCTTTTTTTTTTTTTCTTTGTTTCGCTATATATATATTTATAAATAAATGTTTAATTTTGAAAGCCATCGTCTTGTGTCTGTTCTTTGTTGATTCCCTTGTGTCGCTTCCATTTCTGAGTGAAGACCGAGAAAAAGAAACCACGTTTTTTTTTTTTTAGAACCCGTGGTTCATCTATATGCTACAAGTTCGTAACATATAAAATTGGGGGCTCGTTCCGAGAATCTTTTTCTCCCTGTTTTTTCACTCAGTAAGAATCGCACAACTTCAGGGTATCGGCGAACTACAGGCCAAGATGTCGGTTATAGATAGTTTTCTCGCATACGCCTCTATGGAAAAATTATGTAAGCTTAAGAAGGATGATATAGTTGAAATAGGGAAGGAATTAGAACTAGAGGTAACGAAGTCTATGAGAAAACTCAGCTAGTCAGGATAGTCTGTGAGCATATGGTAGATAACGACGTTTTCGACGTAGAAGAATTAAGTAAATTATCACTAGACACGCCGGAACTTTCGCAGGGCACAACTCGAGCTCGAGAAAGTGAAAATTGAGGCCGAGGCTAAGGTCAGAGCCGAAGCTGAAAGAGCAAAGGCTGAAATAGCAAAAGCTAGAATCGAGCAAGAAACTAGATTTCGGGAGTTAGACGAAAAGCGGGAACTTCACGGCTAGAAGTAGTGAGTTTGACTTAGCGAAGCAAGTCCCGACTGCATGCCGCAGTTTAACGAGGCTGACGCTCGACAAATATTTTCAGCATTTCGAAAAGGTTGCCTCAAACCTAGCATGGCCCATAGAAACGTGGCCAATTTTACTGCAGACCGCACTAAAAGGCAAAGCTCAAGAAGATTTTATGATGTATTTACCCACTTTTCTGATTACAAAATCAGAAGCCATCATACAAAATAAAATAACCAATGCCAGCAAGATCATTTTTCTTCTTCAAAGAAAAAATTAATAAGATTTATTTTAGGTGTCTCTTACTTGTTTATGCTTCACTTGTTACTCCATGAGGCCCTCACCAACAAATTTGGGAGTTCTTTTCTTATCAGAATGATCAGAGTGAGTTTTCCGAGCTGCCATACCTTGGTAATCACCATTAGACTCCTCCAAATCTTTCTAAATCCTCTGCACTGTTCTCATATTGACATCCAAACACTCTGAAATGTTTGTATTAGAGCTTCCTGCATGAATGCTGAGCAGTATACTGTGCCATTTCCAAATTTCTGACAGAGTGAATTGTGTCATGGTGCACTTTTTCTCAAAGATAGTACCCAACAAAATAAAAAAACAAATCATGCATGTACATAATTAAAAATATAAAATGGCGACAATTTAGCCATCGCACCATATATATATTTTAATAAATATACATATTTTACCTCACTAGTAGCACAACTCGGTTATATGGCATCGAGTAGTATTTTATTAACACCAGCACTCAATGTGCAATATATGTATGTGTGTGTGTGTATATATATATATATATATATATATATATATATATATATATATATATATATATATATATAATCTGTAGTTTCTGTAGTTCACTGCTACCAGCAAGTAGAAAATTATTTTTCTCCTGATGATGGCCATGTTGGCCAAAACTGGTCGAGGAATCTAAATGAAATAATAATAAAAATGATGGAATATTAATATACAACCCAGTGTGTCTGAAGATTTTAATTTTTTTATATTTTTTATTGTTCAAAATATATATATATATAATCCTGATGGTATCCCAACACTAGTCCTTAAGAAATGTGTTCCTGAACTGGCTCTTGTTCTCGCTAAACTTTACAATAAATACCTGATTGCTACTTGCTTTCCTGCTTGTTGGAAATTCTCCTTTGTAGTTTCAGTCTTTAAGAACTCAGGTGAACTCTCTGGTTCTTCTTACTATCAGTCTTCTACCTACTAGACCCCCCTGATCAACTTTGTACTGGTTATTCATCTCTCATTGCGGGGTCTTCTTTCTGATAAGCAATATCGTTTTCACTTTTCTAGGTCAACTGCTTGTTACCCAAGCTGACATTGATTTTTAAAAGAACAACATCAAAGCATTGACAAGATGACTGCAGGTTCAATCCCAGCTCCAATGGTGATCCCCATGCGAGTTCCACAGGCAGGGAAATCAAAGACAATCATTGATACTAACACAAAAATTGCTCTTACATGCAGTAAGTAGAATTTTTTATTTTTTTCAATTTTTGATATTTACTTGTCTTCATCCAGACCAGGTCAAATGATGCAAGGAAAAGGGAGGACATGACTATAAAATTCTACTATGCAAATCTTCTACTTTTAGAAAGTCTTCCATACCTAGAAAATCAGCATTCAGAATGATGACTTGGGTTTGAACACCAACCACTGATGCCAAAAATGAAATAAGTACTGTATATACTTGCGCATCATGCAACTTTTGAAGAATTAATTTTGATGCTAATTTGACTCCAGGAAATGGATATATAATTTGGTTAATGGTGTAGCCAGGGCCAGCAGTATATATTCTAATTTTATATCTCATGTATGATGTGACTCCCTTAAAATTAGCTTCAAAATTAGGTCTTCAAAAGTCATGTGATATGCAAGTATATATGATAAATATTTCAGCCACAAAGCATGTTACTTTTCTTTTTATTGGTTTACTTATTTAAACTTTATCACTCTGTAAGTGACTTTGTTTGTCATACCTCTGGAGGCAATTCTGATAGTATGTTTGAATTTTACAGTTGTGATTTCATGTCCTGTTATGGTATCAGCTAACATTACCTTAACTGAAATCAAGAACTACAATACTGTAATTTCTGCCTGCAATGAGGAGTTATCATTATTTCCATTTGAACAATTGCCTTCTTCTTTATTGTTATTAGAACAATGTTTAACTTATGTATCGGCAAAAAAAAAAAATCCTATGTTAAAAGGATGATATTTCTCTTGAGACTATTGCTACTGTATACTCTGTTAACAATGTTTATTGTTTTAGAAAGTTATATTTACAGTTTTAATAATAAAGAGTAATTCATTATTTCTGTGAATGTTCTTTTTAATATTCATTTTTTTATGTCCTGAAAAAGATGAGATTTAAGTTATAAAATATTAATCAGAATGCAAAATTCCCAATGAATTTTTAATTTGAGATATTCTTGTTTCCTGTGATTAGCAGATGATGCCAAAGTCATAATTTATTACACCATAAATGGCACCAAGCCTGAACCATTCCAGCCAAGGACAACTCCAGGATTTTGTACGATCCGATACAGAAATCCTATCAAACTGCCAAGTGGGAAAGTAACACTGAAAGCACTTGCCATTGCAAAGTAAGTTTCTCTTTCAATTGCCCTTCATTTGTCCAACAAACACACACACCCATAGCCTTGTTTAATGGTATATCAACTCCTCGTGGGTCATTTAATGGAGCTTGAGAGCTTTAAACTAATAAAAATATGATATATGTTGTTCTGCTTTGACAGTTGAATAAATGGTGTAGATGATACTCAGCTTTTGTATATATACATGTTCATGTGGACATAATTGGTAATGGTGGTGATATGTGTTTTTTGTTGTGGTTTTGTTGAAGTTATATTTTTGAATATAGTTTGATTTCTTTAAGAAATTGTAGGATATTATATGGATTAATGTCAGGAAAAAGTCCTTTCACATTGGTTGTTTGGTGAGCGGCATACCAACCCCTATGGGCTATTTAATGCTAAAATTCAAATATTTTGAACACAGTTACATGCCTTCAACTACAGATAAAATGTATTGCTGGTAATTTTACTATAAAAATGTATTTTTATACTTTCATAGAGTTTTGTTTTTGTTTGGTTAGAAATTAATAATGAAATACATCATCTCAGACTGACTATACTTAAGATCATTACTACTAGTTTTACTACATAGTAAACAAACAATATGGCTGGGATGATTCAATGAGGAATATGTAACTATGTAACTGTAGAGATGACTGTCTAAGTAGTTGGTTTCTGTGACCAAATTGGCAAAAGTGATGTCCAGGTTAGATAGGTTCCTGTGATATAGAATAGAGCTTTAGATAAGAACAGCAAAGCTCATGTGTGGCTCAAGATATCTCAAAGGCATTCAACAGGGTTTGGCATGCTGGCCTTTTCCGCAAACTCAAAGGCTATAGTGTTATGGGATGAATATTTGGCTTAATTCAATTATTCACAACAATTCATGTAATGATGGTTGTGTTGAATGGCTATGCTTCTAGATCAGTGGTTTCCAAATGGTGCAGTGTGCCTCATTGATGCAGCAGAAGAGGATAGCAGGTGAGGCTGAATGATTGAGAGACAAAGATTTTGAAATAGCTTAAAAAAATTCATATTTCGAAAAATAAATATGATTTCAAAATATTATCATGGATTACTTGTAATGCATGAGTCCCCATATAAACAGTTATAAATAATTATTGACCAATTTTATCATTGTGATATTATTGCATTATATCAAGTATTAAGAATATAGTAACTAGGGTCTGCAAATTGGAGGAGAGTGTTATCAATGATAATGTTCTGACTTCGAATCTGCAGTTATTTCCCTTTAACCCTATCTCTGTTTTTAATTTTTAAATGTATCTTTTATTATCTAAAATTTGTTGAGGTGTGAGCAAATTTTAATTCCAAAAATGCAGCCCAGAGAAAGTTGTGGAATGCAGGGGTCCCCCAGGTTCCTACCCTTGGACCTATGCTGTTTCTGATCTTCATCAATGACCTTCCTGATGTGTCATCAGTTCCCAACTAGGTATTTTATGAGGATGACACAACTATTTATTTCTGCCTTAGTAGCAAGTCCAACAGGTCCAACAGGTCCAACAAAGTAAACTTGTTAACTGTTCTTCAAAAGGACTTCCAATCAGTGATTAACTGAGGCAAGGAATGACTTGTAAATTTTAACACCTTCAAAATAAAAAATGCTTTCATTTAATCACTACAAAGAACCTTTTCTACCTGTCATCAGTTTGGCTGACACTAAACTCCAGGAGAGCAACACTCTATGCGTTCTTGAGCTCACATTTTCCACTGACATGAAGTGTGTGTGTGTGTGGGGGGGGGGCACCTGACTATATTGAATCAATTGCTACATCTACTGCTAAGAAAGTTGGTTTACTATGTTGTGCCAGAAAATATTTATAAAGCTATCTTTCCTCCGTCTGTGAATTGAATACTGCTGCCATATTTGATTTGGTGCTTCTGTTGTACATCTCAAGATTCTTGACAAAATTCAAAGAAAAGTCTGCAATGTTATCGATCCTGATCTGGCATCTCAACTCCAATCACTTTCTCACCAATGTGACATGGCTTACCTCTGTCTTCCATTTTCTATGAATATTTTTGTGGCAACTGTTCTAATGAGCTTTTTTCCTTAATGCCTCGACAGCATGACTTTAAGCATGCTACTAGATTGGCAACTAGGTCTCATCACTTTATTGTTGAACTGGCAACTGCCACTTCTATTCTTTTTTCACATTTCTCACTTGTGAAACTCCCTTCTAATTTCTTTGCTTCCCCTACCACATACAATCTTAAAAAAATTTAAATTCAACATCAGTTGTCATCTTCTATCTTCCTGAACCCTATTCCTTTATTGTCCTTTCCTCATTTCTTCTTATAGCATTATCACCTTGCTTGGGGGTGAAATGATTTACAAAAAAGAAAAATGACTGTAATGAACTTGAATGAAATTTGAACTCGGCTCTCTGATTCCTCTATCTGATCTGCTATCCATTATTCCACTATGCTTCCAATATATATATATATATATATATAGTACTCATAAAAATGTAGGTCATGTTTACACATAGTTCAGCACTTATGGCTAGGATGTGTCAGTTCTGCTTAGGATTAAAATGTCACTTTAAAACCCTCTTCCTAAGATCAGTGTAGTATCTCTGTGCTCTGCTTAACTTAGTATTTGTAAGTTAATGTTATCATACTGATCAAGCAAATGAACATTGGCCTAATGGATATATCACTTGCTTAGTTACTCCCAGGTCAGATGTTTGAATTAAGGCAAGATTCATTAGTTATATTTTATATAGGTTTCCTGAATTACAGGAAAATAGTTACAGACAATAAATACACAAATATGCATTATTTAGGTAGATTTCAGAAATCATTAAGAAAATGATTTTTATCCAATCCACTCTGATTTAAAGTTTACCATTATCAGTCTTATTTTCATTATTTACATGTGGACTAGTGTCCTCATTTCAGCCATTTTGTCCTCTGGACTTCATCAGACATATGTTGATTTGAATAACCTACAGGGAATTTTGAACTTTTATTTAATCTATTACAGTAGATTGTTCTCATTTCACTGCCTGTGTCTAGAGATATCTTGTCCATTTCTTATTTAGTTCTTCTCGGTTACTGCCCACCCTATTTCTACTGAGTACACTTTGCCTGGCCCTGGGAATTCAAGTGAGGTAAGCAATACCTGAGCTGTACTAAATAAAAACTAGACAAGATATCTCTAGACATGGGCAGTGAAATGAGAACAATCTACCCCTGGAGATTAAATAAAGGCTTCAGTTTGAAATTCCCTGAAGATAATCCAGATCAACATTCACCTGATAAAGGCCAGAGGACACAACAGCTGAAACGTTGTGCTAACAACAACAAAGATGAGGATAATAGTTTATATATAAATAATGATAAATCCTCATCACAAAAATTTGGACAGGAATCTTAATTTAATGTCCTAATGAGTTTATTATTAAAAAATTCTTTTGAAAAAATATTTTGTCCTGTTTATACTTAGCAAAGATTTTTTGAACCATCATTGTTGAAATTGTAAACTTCACAACTTCCATACAGGTTGCAAATGTTACAAGTTTTGCACCTGAAGTTTTGTGGGTGTGTCTGGAATGTTTCTAGATTAGGCTGGCAACTGCCTTTCCATGGTGTGTTGTTTGCCAGCATCTGGGAAAAGAGCAAATACTAATTAACATTGATAGAAAAAGAGAACTGATATACTTGGGCAGCAGGCCAAACTTGGAGAGAAAGAATTCCTAGTAAGTTTGAATTCATACAGGAAGGTGTGACATTGCATATATGAAAAAACTGACCAATCTTTCCCTCCCTACAACTATAGTTTTTATAAAGAGGTTCCTAGATGATACAAATTCTGTTTTTTTTTATTCATTCGTTTTTATAGCTTACCAATGTATGCAGGCAATTTAAAGCCAGAAAATATTTTTAGATTGAAATAATTTTTTTTTTTTTTTTTTTTTGAGATAATAATGATTTAAGTAAAAGTCCTGTAAGCGTTCTGGGAGTGCAAAGAAAATATTTGTCACAGATTACTTCCACAACGCAGAGAATAAATCACTGTAAGTTCAGACTTGGATATTGGGGGCAGAAAGAAATGCCAAAAACTTAAAAATCTCACAAATCACAATACATGTAACCAGTCAGAAAAGTAACTCGCTCTCCGACGAATGCGGTAGTCAAAATACACAAATTTTTTTTTTTTTTCCCGACTTGAGAACACCACCTGTTTTTATTGGCTGAGCATTTTTCCATTCATCGACAACTGGGAGAGGACGCTCAATTTTTTGCATATAAAAAATACTTTTATAGCGACTCCTGCAACTGACTTGTTTCCAATTCAAATATTCCGTCTTCAGCATTTCATGCGGAATACGTGCCCTTTTGTTTGGTAAGTAATTTTCTTTTTCACCACATTTTCCATCGTAGGATACACGCGACATGCTGATGCTTGGTTTGATGAAGTAAGTTGCCGTTTTCTTTGCTATAACTCCATGGGGTTGTTCTCTTTGAAGAGACAAGGACCAATTCAAAACAATACTGAAAACCACCGGACTTGAACTTAAATCATTTGAAACATATGCACAGGAATTTACCAATTAGCAATGTTCCATCAGCATCAGAACCAAAACTTCAAAGCCACCAAAAGAGAAAAGGAAGAAGAAGTTAAACGACAAGAGAAAAAGATCTCAACAACCCCCCGCCACCACCACCACTATCATGCAGTCAATGCCATTGGTTCTTGCATGCAAGAATTGGTTTACTTAGTCATTAATGCCATCATCATAAAGGAAGGGGTCAGAAAACATGAAATTAAATTCTTGGATACAAGATAAAGCCAGTGACAATGATTTAGTGATACAAGTTTTACTAATTAACCCATAGTTGGGGGAGAAGAAATGGATTCATACTTTTCCCAAGGATATTTATGTGCAAGTGAATATAACAAACCCAACAAGAATTGGAACTTGGTTCTCTGATTTACAATTCCAAACCATTTTTCATTATACCACTTTCACTTCCAAGCTTGCAGCACCTGATATTCCATAAGCAGTCACCCATCATGGTACTAACCAGACTCAACATTGCTTAACCAGTGATTATATGGGAACTGGTGCTACATAATGTGGCTGTAAGCCTATGATGATACAGAGAATCAATAAAAGTTATTATATTTTTCTACATCACATATTTGTTTTGTTATTCCAGTAGGAATATAAAAAAGTGTTGAATCTGAAGAAATTTTCAGAAAAGGGTTTTCTGCCCCATTACTTCTGGTTTGTCCTTCAAAATGTGTTTTTTTTTTCACACTTTACATTTCTCATGCAAGACTTATCCCAACAATTTCTCAAGCAGCGTTTCTGTAAGTAACAATTCTGCAACAAATTTCCTCACCAAGAATTCAATGTTGTTCAATACCATCAGAACAATCAACAATTTCTGATTTGATTAACATGATAATATAATAACCTATTAATATAATATAATATAATAACCTATTTAAAGAACAGAAATTTAGTAATGTCTTTTCTTAATTTTTTTTCCAATTTTAGGGATGGTGTACGTGAAAGTAATGTTGTGAGCAAGACGTTTGATGTAGAATATGTTTCAAGTGAAGAAGAGACAAAATTAGAAGAGGACAACAGCTTGGCATTTCAGGATGAAATTGCTGAAGAAAAGGTTAAAGTATGGAAAACATTGGAAAAAAAATAACCTCTTCCGATGGTCAGAGAGATGTATGTATGTATGTGTGTGTGTCTGTGTTTGTTATGAGGGTGAATCAATAGTCCATAGAATCACATGATTATTAGCTAAATTTTGATCTGAAATTTTGAGTGCATAATTTTTCTTTTTCTTGGGTAAATGGAGAAGTGCTGTGTTAAATGCTTTGATAAGAAAGATGACTATTTTGAAAAATAAATATTTTTAAAATAAATACTTTTCCATCATTTCACTATAAACTTACCTACACACACACGCACACTTCTCTGAGGGGGAGCTGAAAAGTGTTTACTCTGACAAAGAAATCCTAAAATATCAGATGTTTTATATATTAAAAAGAATCATTTACTCACCAGTTATTTACCATCACCTGAAGAGGCACAACTTAGTGCTGAAACATGAAAGCTATTGGGTAGCGATTTTTAACATATTTTTGTTTTAATCTACTATAATAAATAATATTAAGTTCTACTCTGTATTGAGTCTTTTTTTGAAATTAAATGCTACAGACAGTGAAATTATACTCCATTTGTTCTTATCTCATACCTGTATATATATATATATGTGTGTGTGTGTAAAAATATAGAGAAAATAGGAAAGAACTCGTTAGGTAAATAATCCAAAGTTCTTTAGTATTTTTGTTATTATTTTTAAAAAATAGTGTTCGATACAAAAGTAGAGCATAAATATAATTATTTATTTAAAAATATGATTCCAATGCTGCATAAGAGTTCTCATGTTTCAAAACAAGAGTCGAAAACTTCAATATAATTATTTGAATTAAATTGAATTAAAGTACCAAGCTCTGTTCCATCTTCAAGCAAAATTTTTTGATATATATACAGGCACGGTGGAGTAATGAATAGTGGCTTGGATTGAGGAATCGCAGAGCCGAGTTCGAATTTCAGTCGAATCCATTACATTCACTTATGTGCTAATACCCTTGGGAAAGGTATGAATCCTCTTCGTCTCCCTCCAGCTATGGGTAAAATAGCAGGACAGACTGGGTTCTATAGCCTTGGATGGCAACTAGTCTAGGAGAAGGTCAACTCTGAATTCAAAACCTGCGGAGGGTCATTGTGGCATTCAGTGCACCAGGTCTCTGTATTCGTCCCTTCAAAAAGTGTGGATGGTCCTGCACGAGGCCTTCACCGCTATAATCAAATCTCATGTGCCGGTGTCGGGCTGTCGGTTTCCTGGAAACTGATCTGCTTGACCCTCATATGTCGAATCTTGACGGGAGAGTCGATTATATATTTATATGCATGTTTTGCTACAATAAAACATATATGTGTTTTGTTACAATAAAACACACATACACATATATATATATATATATATATATATATATATATATATATATATATATATCAATGTATTTGATAACAGTCTTCTCCAGAAAATTTCTATTAATATTACTTACATAAAACTAAATACTTACATTTCTGGCTGAATTTCTGTTATGAGGAATTATCATTATTTATATGAAGACTATTGTCCTATTCTTTGTTGCTGTTATCCAACATTTTGGCTGTTATTTTATCTGACTTTCATCCAGTGCCTCTCGGTCTGGGTAAACTTCAAAGAATTTCAAATTAAATAAGCCAAACACATTTGCTTCCACATAAATATATTGACAGATATGAGAGAAAGTAACAGAATAAATTTTGGATGCATATCAATAAACAATGTTCAATATTTAATGAGATGCCTATTATTTGAGAGGACAGCTAATAATTTGTGTTAATATCAACAGAAACTAACAACAATTGAGAAATCACTTCAAATTTTGGGAATTCTTCAAGCTCCTTCCATAAATATTCCCTAAGATAGTAAAAGGTTCGGGTTAAAGATTAGGGCTAGTAAAGACAAAATATGTCATTATGGGTAAACTAATAAGGAAAAAGTAAATGTTTAACAAAGTTGAATTTTTTAACAAATGTTTGTCTATGATTGAATAGTCTTTCTTTGTTCTATTTTTTTCACTTTTTTATGAATTTAGTTGCAAATGAAAAGATCAGCAAAGAATCTTCAGCTTTCAGCAAAATCTGCTTGGAAAGAAGTTCCCCCCCAGAAGAATGTGTCGCAACTTATGACCAGTAAGTGGCCTATAAAATTCAGTTTGATTTTCAGCATAAGAGTCTTAATCAGACACCCAGACATGACATGCTAGAAATCTGAAACTTATCTTGAAATATAGCCTTGTGTCTGACTTTGATTAAATGTAATCCACTTATGCATTCCTATGTGGGTGTCAATCTTTGTACACGGAAGAGGCTTTGGATTCATGCCAATTCCCCACCCCCTAAATATATTTGTCAGAGTTGATAGTTGGTTAATTAGAGATGTTGCTCTTCTGAAATTTTCAGGTCGATCTTTGGATGATGGGAGAAAACCACAGACAAGTGTTCGGTTCTTAGATGAAAGATTCACAAGGAAAGAAAATTCAACTTCCAAGCCTCTACACTCCACAGTAAGTATTTCTTATTTTGGATGGCTTGTGAGTTATGAAAGGAGGAATTGGTAAGAATGTAACAATCAGGTTTTGTCTGTTTGATTACTGGTGTGAAGATGAAATATCATAGTATGTGGATAAGAAACATTGATGCTGGGCCAAAGAATCATGAGCAATGACATGGAGCAAGAATGACAACAACTGTCTCATAACAGTTTTGTATGTCAAGATCAGGGGAATATAAGCCAGCCTCAAGGACTTTATTTTGCAGTGGAAGTGCTACATTTATGGGCAAGAACAAAGATTGAATTGACTTTGATAAAGGCCAAATTGTTATGATCAGAGACTAGATCAAATTCTTTTCAAAACAGTATGGTTTGTGGAATGTTAACATTTAATTGTGGTGAATATCAATGGGCAGAGATTGTTATTTGTGGATACCCATATTTGACTAGGCACCTTTTATTTATTTATTTATTTATTTATTTATTTTGTAGACAGTGTGAATTACCTTTACCAGTTTGCACATTTTAAAGACTTAATAAAGATGTGCTTCCTGGCAGGGTTTGAACCAGGAACCCCTAAGGATTCAAGGATTCCTCAAAAGCGTAATTTAATCTTGCTAGGCTGCAATGCTCTCTGGGGCCAAGTGGTCTAAAGCATGTTGGTTCAGATGATGGTTTCTCCTATAAAGGGGGATACAGGTTTGGATGCTGTTGGAGATAATACTTTCTTTAAATTGATTAAACAAATCATCAGAGATGGAATTCACACTGTTTGAAAAAAAAATACAGGTTGTCTACTGAAACATGGTATCCACAAAATAGTGTTTTGGGGTAGTAGAAAAAAAACAGATATATTTCAGACAGCGTATATCTGTAAAAGGACAATATGAATAAATTTTCCTTTTGTCTTTATTTTCACACACACACACACACACACATTTAATAGGCTGGCTAATGATATTCAAGAAATACAAAAAACAACAAAATGATAAAAATATGGTCAATGTTTCTACTCGTATAATGGCCAGCTGCTCTCATTTTCTGAGTGGCTAGTTAATCCCTGTTGCAGACACCTGCTCAGGCACATTTGAGTTTATTCACTACCCACAGAGCTCTATGCTGAGTGAACTTGAGTTACAGTTTCCGGGAAAGAGTACACAATCCATCATCAGTATGGACAAAGCCAGTATGCTCAAAACCTCAGTCACGATGACTTGTAATTTCATGCTAGTACAACTATTGATGTCTTCCGAACAGTTCCTTCTACCCAATTGTGCTCACAAGGCTTGATTTAATCTGGGGTGTAGTTTTCAAGCACTTTCCAAAAGTGCTTCATACTGATATTGCTTCCTCAGACCATCAATATCAAGAAGACACCTTCCAGACAAATTGACAATGGTGAGATTTAAACTCGGATCTCATAATCACTCGGCCATGTGCCTACTTGTATACACAAATATATTGTCACACTCTTTTTGTTAAATTAATTTAAACATACAACGCAACCCTTGTCCAAGCTTCCCCACTGACTGGCCAATGATCACTCCCATATTGCATTCTGATTCTCAATCTTGCTGTTGTGCACTGAAAGCTGATGCATGCTCACAAAGTAACATGATGAAAGAAACACCACATTAAGAAATAAGAATGTGATCCCTGTTACCCATAAAAATATGTAGGTGTTTATTCAGGGCTTTGCTTGTCCAGGTGGGGGTAGGTAGATACATGGAACAATTTCTGCTACGTCAGCTCTTCCACCTACTTACCCGTCAGCCATCTACTCATCACATGGTGGCTGGCAATAGGAAATGTAGGCTTAGCAACTACAATGCAGACATGTTCATCACCTACCAAGGGAAGACCAAAACTCTCCTGGATCCCAATCATAACTGTTAAAATAGACCAGCACCTTGATATCCCTTATTTCCGGTTTTGATGCCACTTGATCCTTAAAAACCCCTTTACTGCCCATTTTCCTGAACTTCAAAAGGAACCACATCTGCTAGACTATCAAAGATAAACACTCAAGGTCACTTTTTCATTTTCTGTGTGGGCGTCCATAGTATCACGATAATACATAGAAGATAGATAAGACTAATATTTAGTCAGTGAGCGACAAAATGTTAAGAAACCTTCTTAGTGAGATATTTCATTTCAAGAACAACTAAGATGAGGATGGTGGTCTGAATAATGAAGAATAGAATAATGATAATTCCTCATTTCAAAAATTTCGACATAAATGCAGTTTCTCATTTGCCAATTCAATTTTTGATTTGTTTGTTATTTTTTGAGTCTTTTTAATTTTTAAAACTTTTTTTCTTAAAATCACAATGAATTTTTAAACCTTAGAAATGCCAACTGCTTGAGACAATTGCTGACCAACTTTCTGCTTCTGAATGGAAGGGCATCCCTGAGCCTCGAAAACCACCAGAGAATTCCACCCAAAGTCTGCGTCTTCAGAAACAAACAGATTTTCTCAAGTATGTTGCAATTCACTTCTTTTCCAGGAATGATCCTCATTGATTAGTCATTTTAGATTTTGTTTAGGCAGAAAAAGAAATGAATTCCTACCAAAATAATTAATAGCATTGCTGGTTTAAAGCACACTGGATCAGGAGTTGGTTTCTCCTATAAAGAGAAACATAGGTTCAAATCCTGCCTAAGGACATTTTTCTTTTTTAAATTTTCTCTAATATGCAGACCAGTAGACGAAATAAACACAGTTTAAAAACTGGGATATTCTACTCAAATACTTAAGATATCCACTAATAATAATAGAGTGCGTTGGATAAATTGTCATTTAAATTACACAAAAATGAAAATAACATAAATACATGCAATTCAGCTCTAGAATTTTTATAGTAAACCAAAGCTAACATTCCCAATTACTATTAGAACTATCACTACAATTTTTACCTACTCAAATGTAATATTATCTCCTATCTCCATCTTTCCTCCCCTACCTCTCACTCTTAAGATGCTTGTGAGATGATGTGCCTAAACTTTTGACCGGTGTTTATCAGCAAAAAAAATCTCCACAGACCAGTCAACATTAAACATCCAATCCATTCTTCACCAAACTGCTATCAACAAGCACTATTGTTCCACTCCGTCACCTATTTTTTTTTTTTTTATGTATATTTTTCTTCTCAAACAAATGTAAAAAAAAAAAAAAAAAAAAAAGGATGTGACGTTTCACATACGGTTTGCCTACAGGATTGTTCATAACCATTTTCGATTCTCACCTGTCAAAGTGCAGTTGAAATGCACTGAAACTAAGTTGCATCTTTGTAGTGAGTAAAATGGTTTTGTCTCTATGATAAAATTGTAATAAATAAATAATTATCACTCTACTATCAGTATTGAGCCCTCTTTTGGATTAATGCTGTGAACGTTGGAATTTATATATTACTTTTGTTCTCATTGCATCGGATATATTATATATATATATATTTTCTGTTTATAAGTTATTTTTATAGATACAAATGCTCCATTTTTAATTAAACAGAGCATTTACTTTAATAAATTGTATCTATAAAAATAACATATAAACAGAAAATATATTAAATAATTATCAGACTTAATCTATTTCATTATATATATATATATATATATATATATATATATATATATATATATTATTTATTCTTTATCATTAACATTATTTAATATAATAATAATCATCATCGTCATTATGGCTTGGTTTCACAAAATGAAGTTCAAGAGGAAGTCTGTACACATCGTTTGCAGGCACGTTTGTAACTGATAAGTTTAATGCAGGGCAGACATATACAGTTGCAGCTGAAAGTCTGGCCTGGGCTCAATGGCATGACATTGCAGTATTTCCTCCTCTGTCTCTTGTCCCTGAGAGTGACCCTGAATGTATTTTCAAAGATGGAGACAGAAAAATAAATAATAATTGTAGTAATAATGACAACAATTGTAAAATACTTTGACAATTATAATGATACATTAAGTTTTAAAGACTTTTCTCCAAAAAAAAAAACAGATTTAAAGACAGATGTAGAATGATATCCAAGAGATAAATTTAGAATAGAATCTTTTATTCCTGTTGTGGAAGTGATTCACATGAACTAGAATAAAAGAGCAACTGTATATAATTATGTTGCAGAGAAATTTCCGTTTCTAGCCGATTGACATTCTTCAGAGGAAAAACTGTGAGATTCAGTCACAGCAATTATTCAAGAATAATTGATATGAAGCTGTTTGGGGAATTGAAATATTTTCATGCTTTTGTGAAGCAAAATTATGCAAAAGATGAATTCATTCGCCACAAGTTTCTATATCGGATAATCTACAAAGACAAAATTCATCAAGCTTTTCAAAATGTAGAAGACATTTTATGATTATTCTTATGATTGATGGTTAGAAATTGCTCTAGGAGATTTTTTACAGCTAAAAAGAATAAAAAAGGAACTTTAAACAACCATGTTGGAAAATAGACTGTCTGGACTTTGGTCTTCTTTGTATAGAAAGTGACAAGTTATGCTGGACTATTTTCAAGGAAATTATTGATGATTTTACTAGAGTAAAATCACAGAAAAGAATGTTTTAAATAAAAACGGGATTATTATTAAATTTAATTTTGTCTAAATATTTGTACTGAATATTTGCTAATTGTTAAGACCAGTAATTATTCTCTATACAGAAAATGGAAAAAATCAATTAATTAGTTAAAAGGAACGTATTGTAACTAATTTAATTTTGTAATCATTAATAAATAATAATCATGTATAATTATTTTAAATTTTTTACCCAAATTTTTTAGAGAAAGGCTTTGAATTTCATATAGCTTAAGGCCTCAGCAGGTGAAAGTCTGTCCCTGTATATACACACACACACAGAGGCAAGGTGGTCTCCTAAAGTTCAAGAATTTGAATAGCATTCTTGCACAGAATAAGTAATCAGGAATTTTGCTGCTGCGAATTGTATGCAAACAGCAAGCAGAAGGACAACTTCAAAGGAAACTGTGGAAACTTAACTGCTACAAGGGTGGGGCTGAAAAGTTCATGGACTGACAATGAAGGAGGGATGTTAGAACTGAGAAATCTTGCAGGCATTTATTTCAATTCTTTTTATTAATAACTGCATTGTTTCTTTCAAGGTAAGCTGACATCTAACTATTTAAAAAAGACTTTAAAATTAACTAGTAGCGACTACTGTTGCAAATTTGGCAAAATTTGGTATTGTGGTATTATCAAGTACCTACAGAAAAAGAGTTTAGCGCCCAAGAACATTCATGCTGACATGGTTGCAACATTAGGGGATAAGACACCCCAGCTTTATTAACAGTAGGCAGCTGAATCTAGGAGGGTAAGGGAATGTTGTAAAGATGACCCAAGGTCTGGATGTCTTGCAACTGTCCCCACAGAAGAAAAACAGTGATTATGTTCACTATATGGTTGCGGATGACAAGCATCATTGACTATAAATGGCAATGTTATTAGCAGATCCCATAAGAAAGTTGAGAATATTCTGTACAATGAACCTGAGTAACGGAGTAGGTTTTTTTTTGTTGTTGTTGTTTTTTTAAATATCTTCACTTTGGTGTTGATTCCCATGTTGTCACTGTTTATATCTACAAAGATATATTCATTTGTATATTCATTTCAGGTGTGTCTATTGTTTTGCTGACCGTCCTGCTGACCCTTGTGCAAAATTCTGTAATGTCTGTGGTAAACCAGTGCCTCCATTACCCCAAAATCGTTTGCCTCCACCTGAACCTGGACAGGTGAGTAAAAACCTTTGAGAAAGACTCTCCTCACATAAAAGCATATATAAAGTTCTAGCTTAATGATTAGGTTGGTTGTGTCAGATTTGTTCCTTTTGTTTTCACAGAAAATCCCCAACTCTACAGAGATAAGGGATTGGATTGATTTGTTTTTTATGACTTATCAACCTTTTGCAGGTTATTTAAAGCCAGAAAATATTTTTAGACTGCAAGAGTTGTTTGAAGATAATAATGATTTACTCATACAAATCTTAGTAATTAACCCATAGCTGGAGGGAGAAAAAAAGGATTCATACCTTTCCCAAGAGTATATGTACGTAAGTGAATGTAATAAACCTGACCAGAGTTGGAACTTGGCTCTCCAGTTTCCAATTCCAAGCTGTTATCCATTACACCACCCACCCATTGAAGCTTACAACACCTCGTATTGAAGCATTCATCCAAGTATTGACCATGCTCGATGTTGCTTAACTTCAGTGATTATATGAGAACCGGTGTTTCAATGTGATATACAGTAGCGGCCATAATATAAGGAACGGAAACAACAAAGACATAAATATGTGTGTTACTTAAAAAGTAATGCATTATTAGCAATGAAATTTTTACCGAATAAAGATTAGGGTGTATTGCATAAATATACAAGGTTACAAAAATTTACATAATAGTTTTTTTTTAAGTAAAGATTAAATGGAACAAAGGAAATAATTTACTGGACAAAAGTTAAGGAACAATCTTGTTAATGCTTGATTGTGAACAAAATATCAACAAAATTTAATATTTGGTAAACATCCCTTTATTTTCAATGACTTCTCTGTATCGTCAACCACATGATCTAATTAATTTCTTGCAAAAATCAGTAGTAATTCCCTCCCATTCGTCTTTCAATAACTCCCATAGGTGATCCTGGTTTTTCGGGTTTCTTTTTTGAGCCCTTTCTCCAATTATCTTCCAAACATTTTCTATTGGATTCAGGTCGGGGCTCTGGGCTGGCCACTTCATTAGAGCGATTCCTTCTTCTTCAAATAAAGCCATAACTTTCTGAGCCTTGTGGCAAGGTGCATTATCCTGCATGAAAATATGAGATTCATAAAGATTATAGTGTAATCTTGGTACCACATGCTGCTGAAGAAGCCTTTTGTAAATCTCAGCATTGATATTGGCATGTACGCGGATGATAGGACCAACTCCTGCAGATGAAAGAATTCCCCACACCATCACACTGCCACCACCAAACTTAACGGTTTTCTTGACACATTGAGAAGACAGTCTTTCACCTGTTCTACGGCGTATGTAAGTTTTGCCCTCAGAACCAAATATAGTAAACTTGGACTCGTCACTGAAATGAACTGTATCCTATTGTGTGTCAGTCCAAAAACATGTTCTCTCGTATACTCCAGTCGTGCCCTTTGCATCTGCTTTGAAATGAGAGGCTTCGAAGCTGGAATACGGGCATATAATAATTCTGCACTTTTTAACCTGTGAGCAACCGTTTTCCTTGAGATCTTATTATCTGTCTCTTCATTAAATTTCCGTGCAATTGATGTAGCAGTTTCAAAATGTTTTTTGTAGATATTCTCACAATTCTTCAATCTTCTCTTTGCGATGTTTTTGGGGGTCTGCCGGTTTTTGGTTTTGCATCTAACGTTTAATCGGTTTTATACCTGCTAAATACACGATGAATGACACTTTTAGACCTATGAACAATATCAGAAATTTCTGAAATTGACTTTTATTGTTGATAGTTAGCAATAATTAATTTTTTTTCTTCAAAAGAGAGCGTTTTGCGTGTAGAATTTGCCATATTGCTTAAAAATAAAGTCCTAATGATAAATGAACTTTTACTTATTGTTGAAAAGCTCCATCAAGATTTTTAACAATGTAAATTAAAAGTTTATGCAAATTATTAACATCGTTCCTTAACTTTTGTCCAGCAGCTTATTTCCTTTGTTCCATTTAATCTTTATTTAAAAAAAAAAAACTATTATGTAAATTTTTGTAACTTTGTATAATATTTATGCATTACACCCTAATCTTTATTCGGTAAAAATTTCATTGCTAATCATGCATTACTTTTTAAGTAAAATACATATTTATGTCTTTGTTGTTTCCATTCCTTATATTATGGCCGCTACTGTAGCTGTAAGCCCCAGAGAAAGCAGAGGGAAAAAGCAAATACTTCCTATTATTTTTCAAATGTAACCAAGTGATTTATGAACAAATAAAGCAGTTCTCCAAGATTACTTTATGAAACAATTCTGTGTTTAGCTCCTCATTTCTGAGACCATAACTTTTTATAGGGTTTTTGTTTTGCATTTTGCCTGCGAACATTTACCCAGCCACCCAACTAAGGCAGAATGGAACTGTAATGACACTAAGAGGAAGTTACTTCTTTCATAGCTTAAAACATAATGACATATTTTGCATTTTGTGCAAAAGGTTTTGCATATACTTCCTGTTGAAGTTGATTAAATTACAATCCTAAATAAATATATGTTGACCAATGAGAAATGAGCACACCTAAAATAATCAACAATTTAAACAGTCTCTCTTTCAACTTTGCTAATAGTATAAATAGACCTTTTGTCTAAAACAGCAAAAGGAGAACAACAAAAGATTCCTACAGAAAAGTCACAGAGAGACGAACATTTACAATTGTGAGTCGATACATCAAAGAGATCTTGATTTCAACAAACACTAACCACTTCTCATACCTCTCTCATCATTTTCATCCCTTTTACTTCTCTCATACATTCAACATACTTTTCCTCATTCACAGGACACATTACCAAATGAAACTTTTATTTAATTTTACTTAAATTATAAATAACAACCTTGTGCCATCTATAAACATTACAACTGTTTTTGTAAAATATAAAACCAATATTTAATGTTTATATAAATTATTATTATTCTACTCAAGACTTAATTGTTTTTAAAATTGATTCATCATGTTTTACTTATGTTGTGGCCAGAAGAGTGGATTTGAGTTAACAAATATATTAATGGAAATCGGCAATACAATAATATACAAACAAGCAAGAATATTAAGTCCGAACTGTCAGAGCTGACTGTTGGGAAAAAACTACTACTGACTGTTGTGTTGGGAACCTACCACCCCTCTTGAAGATGAACTTGTCTGTGAACAAAGACTTTAAATAGTGGCATGTCAGTTGACATGGGAGGAGACAGATAGAGAAGTTCTTAGCTGAGCTAGTTATTGACTACTCAGGCGATTTCTATACCTTTTTTACCAACCTATTAAAACCCTTTTTATTGTTTGTCTCTACTAACCCCAAATCAACATCATAACACTGACAAAAGTAGTACCTGCTTTTATTTGTAACTTGGAAGAGTTCATCCATGTATGGGTAATTTACCATAACAACTTACTCCTTCATAAATCCCTTATAGTGGGTTAATCCTGACAAGACCCAAATCTAACCCCAAATAACCCACTATAGAACATAAAGTCATTTTTACATTTACTAAATTATTAAAATATATGTGCCATCTATAAGGATATCTTTATTATTTACACTTTTATAAAATTCGAATCAATTGGCAATTGGCTGATGTTTTGTCAACTATTCCAATAAACAATCTGATAAATAATGTTTATTATTTTTTGACAATTCTCAAAAACTAAAAAAAAGTTTTACATGATTACCTTCCTTGATAAAGATTCATGAAGTTTTTTTTTACGTGATTACCTCCCTTTATAAAGATTGTTTTTAATATTTTTCCTTTTGCAGATGGGTCTTTGTTTATATTGTAACTCTTTAGTACCCCTAAACACTGACTCTTGTGTTGTATGTGAGGGGCCAATTCCAGTTCAGAACCAGCCCCAGGCCAGTATTAAGTTATCTGACAGATTGGTATGCTTTGTTTGTGGCACTGCCAACCCCTCCAATCTATTCACCTGTGTCCTGTGTGATTCAAAACTTTCAAAAGAGACACATCTCCAGGTAAATATCAAAAGAATTTTTTCTTCATTTTAAATAATTTTATTCTTCCAAGAGTTGTTCTGAATATTAAACTCATTGTATTTGTTAATCTTGTTGTTACCACAATGTTTTGGTGGATTCGTTCTATGGCCTTCTTCATAGAATTCATATGGAAAAAGAAAGTGGTGAGTGTCATTTTTTTCTCAGTAATGCAACCAAATTAATGGCAGCAAACAGAAAGTGGGATATATTTACCACATTCTTGATTTTTCTACCATTTTCTGATTTGCATTATTGAAAAAAGAAACCCACCACTTCTCTTCCCATCATGTTTATGTATTGGAAGAAGGCTGTAGAATGATCAACCAAAACATAGTGTTGTAACCTAAGGAAGGTTATTAAATAGAATACTCAAATGAAGGTTGGTTATGAATGATAATACTTAGGACAAGAATAACACATAAGATTTGCCAGCCGCGCATAAAAGAAGTAGTCAACTGCTAGAAGTGAGTCAAGTGAATTCCATAATGAATCTCCAACTGCAGAATATGTACCAATCACTCCATGCGGTCAGATGTGGCACAAGGCTGAATTTAATGTGGGGTATCTGAGCCCATAGGCTCAGCCAAAAATTCCCTGTAGACCCCATATAAAACGGGGTTGGGTAGCTGTTTCCTGAGACATGACTCTGCCCTTCGACATAGCCTCATCTGGGGATCCTCTCTGCCATCGGGCAGAGAGTTTGACCAACACAGCTGGAGACAAATCTCCAACTACAGACGAACATACAGTATTTAGTATTGTTTTTATGTGAATGGGGACATATTTATTATCGTCCATAGGTATGCTACGACACATAAGAAGATCAAAAAATGAATTTAATTCATTGAACAATTTGTGCATTGATAACGGTTCTCAAAATGATAGAAGGTAAATAATTTGAATAAGAAAATTGTAACACGTAAGACAAGAAATAAGCAATCCCTGTTTTTTATATTATATGTAGATGTTTTATTCAGGGTTTTGCCTGTTCATTCATGTGGATAGGTAGGTGATATTTGAGATAATTTCTGCTAAGTCAACTCTTTCCCCCTACCAATTCCTTACTCATCTACTTCTCCCAATGTTGTGGCTTAGCAATACGAATAGAAGCTTCAGAACCACATGATGGATACATCCGTCTCTCACGAAGGGTGGACCAGAATGCTCTGTGATCCCAAGCATGACTTAATATAGAGCAGCACTTGGATATACTCCATTACCATTTTTTGGGGGCCACTTGATGTCAAAAAGTTCCACATTGTTCCCTTTACTTTCCATTCCTCTTTAGTTAAAGTGGATATTGCTTACAAGAGTGAAATTTAAAAGTAACCATCCACTGGTCCATCAAACAAACACTTAAGATAAAACTGCCCTTCTTCCCTTTCTATGTACGTGTCTATAGTATCACACTATAAAGAACCAACCTGCGTAGTATAGTCCCAGAGTGTGAAACTCATTGTTATATTATTATTTTTCCTTTGTCTCTTGAGTTTGATCTTACGGATATTACTAGATCACATTCAAGGTTACTGGATAAAACAATTAAGAAAACAGAAGATAACAATTGACATTGCATTTAAATTTAGATCAGTTGGAAAGTGACTAAAGCTGAGATGCCAGGTCAAGACCGATAACATTTTTTTTAACTGGATACTGCATATTATAATATAGATAAATTTAATATTTGTTTACTAAACTGGAGTGAAAACATGGTTTGTCACTCTATATACAACCATTATATCTTTTATATATTTACAAATTTGTCTAAACATGTGCTATTTTTAATCATGTTCTAAAGTGAGTTTTTTGTTCACTTGATCAAAATTGGTCCCATTAATATCATGTGACCACATAGAAAACAAACCCAGTCTGTTCCCTACCAACTAGTACTGTTTTCACTTTGTATGAATGTGACACTATTTAGCTATGGTAATTAGCTAACTAATTAAGCATAGAAATTAAAACGAGAAATATTTAAGGCGAGAAAGCTATATCAAAAGACAGACTGAGTGACATTTTTTTTTAACAAAAAAAATGAATGGGAAAAGATTTTATTTATGAGGAAAGATACTTTTTTGCAGAAGACAGAAAATCTGTAAGAGAAAACCAGATTTCAGATTCTATCAGAATTAATTAATGTCATGATCAGATAGTGACACGGCAAGGAAAACAAAATTCGGGGAGGAATAAACAAAGCCGGGCCATGCATGCGACCATGGAGGAATTTCAGCTTGAGACCACCCTAAAGAAGAGCCATTAATTATCTTTCAGTGATATCATTTAATTTTGGTTCTTGTGTCCAGTGAAGAGACCTATCTGTTGTATGTACGAATCTTGACATGAGAAAAGAGAGATGAGAAGGGGATCATTATTATTGTCAGACATGGTGACTCGAAAATGAGCATCTGGTGATACAAAAATTTTAAGACACTAGAAAAATAAAGAATTCGATTTTTAGGTGGAAATGACCACCCAGTTTAAAAGTTGACTAGCAGTGATTAATGAGTTGGTAGAGATTCTGCTAAGTGGATTTTGAGAAGTAATAAATTTTCCTGTCCTGAGGACAAAGAAAATTTTTGTTGGGAATTAAGAATTGTCAAAGAACCCAAACCACGACAGGCCCCAACCCAGTTTTGGTCGGTGTCCATATAAACAAATGTCCCCAGGCGTTCAGAGAGTTGGGTTGGAGATCGGAGACACAGACACAGATCGACAGAGAGCTGTTGGGCTTGGAGAATAGCACCTCACAGGAGCTGACCGAGATTTTCACGCCTTTTGACTTAGTCTTCCTACCAAAAGCAAGTTTTTTTTTGACAAATGACTTAAGATATCATAACTCGCTTAAGAAACGCAAAGAGTGTCAGGAATCCATAGAAACAGGCCGAAAGAGAAATACACTCCTGTATTCAACAGATAGATAAAGATAATTGTTATTTCTCAACATATTTGAACCTCGTGAGTTTGTTTTATTATTTTTCTTTTACTTACGCTTGTGTGGTATCACCTTTACCCCAGATTCAGCTTGCACTGTGGCCCGACGCTTGATTGATTTTGTCTACCTAAGATCAAAGTCACAATGTGGGTAGGTTAGACTTGAGATCAAAGCAGTTACTTTGGTGACCAAGCGTTGGAGGCGAGCTGAGAACAACAAATCTGCTATTGAACCGGAAACGACCAGATTGACCAGAACACAGGCTGGTAGCAGCGACAAGGAGTCAACCCAAAAATGCTGGTGGAAACAACCTTATGGCTTCGCACCACAACTAGGAGTTGACCACAGGCCAACGGCTCAGTGTCATATATTGACGTCACGACCAGTGGATGTCCCATATTGGCGCTGGTGCTGCGACCGCGACCACCGGTGCATGTCACATGAAGAATTTCCTTCCTTTTTGCCTATGAAAAGAATTTTTTATTTTGGCATAACCTCATCTCTTGAGGCCAATAAAAAAAAGAAAACAAAAAACACTCCCATTGATAGATTTTAGAAGCACATCCAGTTATTATGTCTCAGTAAAATACTATTGGTCATTTTTAATCTTTTTTTTAATTTCTTTCATTCAGAAATTTCCTGCCAATGAAGAATTTCTTTTCTCCGCCCCAGGAACAAATAACAATGCAAAGTTTTTGAAATGTTCAAAATGTCTGCGAATCAACAACATTGATGCTCGTTATTGTGATTGGTGTGGCAGTCAGGTAAATTATTTCATGTATTGTTACTTTGTTTTCTATCTCTACATATATGTGCATATGCATATATATATATATATATATATATATATAAAATTGATCATCATCAAGGTGCAGGTAATTCAGATAGTGTGTGTGTGTACGTGTATATATATATATATATATATATATATATATATAATACGCACACACAGTAATAAAGAAGTTAATGGTCAGAGTTGAATTAGACTAGGGAACAGTAGTATTAAAAAAGTGCTCAATCCCCATATAAAAATTTAATATGTAGAGCTTTAAAGTATAGAAAATCAGCAAATCAGCCAATTCTGCTATCTTCGTTTCAACCTTTTGGTATCTTTAGACGATTTTGGTCAGTTGATTTCCTAATGCTTTATTTTTTTTTACAAAAAATAAAAAAATTTATGAACTCTATATTTTTAAAACATAATTTATCACTTGTAAAAAGAAAAAAATATGAAAGTTTCATGTCTTAATTTCATTTGAATTATCATCTTATGTAAAATATATTTGTGTGTGTTTGTAGGATGTATATGATTTAAAATCCAATCTGAAACAAAAGTGAAGGCAATGAAGCGGAAAATGAAATCTGATTAAAGATATATTTTGATGGAGAAGTGTATGGTCTCTTTGGCTTCGTCATTTTAAAATGAAAGAAAGACAAAACTATGTGTGAGGAAAATATCTTGGGATCTCTGACGATAAGTGGATATCATAAACAAAATTAATTACCTGAGCTTATCAATTTCTAAACTTGGCGGGTGTCTGCCCACCTGAGTGCTTGGTTGTTTTATCTACATCTGTATTAGAGCTGTTTGGTATTGTAGGATTTCAAATCAGGATTTTTTTTCAATACACACACACACTATATATATATATATATATATATATATATATATATATATATGATACACTTTTTCATGTGTACATGCATACACACACATGCATATACACATCATTGAGGCTTTTTTTTTTATGTATAATAGTTGTATGTATGAATATGTGTGTACAGGTATACATATTAAAAAAAGCCACTATGGTGTGTACATGCATGAGTGTATATGTATGTATGCATGTGCAGGTATATATTGATGTGCATATATATATCCCGTTCATAAATGCGCATCTGAGGTCTCCTACTGGATGAAAGTCAGCATCGATGCTTTCATTCCAGCAAGGAAATACCAAGTTAAATCATGTTCATCTCTTTGGTTCTCACCTGCATGCTCGGTCACTATAGTCCACAGGAATCACTTCTTCCCGTGGTACCAGAGCGACATGTCTGATTGCAACAGACGTGTCTTTGTCTCTACTCGTAACGAGTGCAGGCATGTCCTCAAAGAAGCAAAGTTACCGTTTGCTGATAAAATGAAACAATGTATTGCATCTTGCAAGTTTGGTTCTAGAGATTATTGTTGGCTCTGCAAGATTGTGCTGAACAACAGCAAATCCTTCATCCCTCCTCTATTCAATCAATTCAAAGTCCTGACATCTACAGCAGATAAGATTGAATGCTTTGTTTGGAAATTCTCTTCCAACTCAACACTTGACTCAATTAGAGTACCCACACCTGATTTCCCTCCTAGAACAAAGGCTCTACTGAGTGATATGTGCATGATCCCATCACAGGTATCAGACATTATTTATAAATTAGACTACCATAAGACAAGCAGAGGTGATGGGATCCCAGCCATCATTCTAAAGAAATATGCTCCCAAGCTGGCTCCAGTTCTCTCCAAACTCTACAACTATTGCCTTGCGGCTTCTTGCTTTCCTTCTTGTTGGAAGTCCTCCTCTGTAGTTCCAGTTTTTAAGAACTCTGGAGAACTCTCTGACCCTTCTGTCTATTGCTCTATTAGTCTCCTACCATTTTTTTCAGCAAAGGCTTTAATCAATGCTGACGTAGTTAAATATCATACCTGTAATGACCTACTCTCTCACAAACAATATGGCTTCCATTTTGCCAGATCTACTACTAATGGCTGCTGCTAATGCCCATCACTGAAGATGTATAATAATGGCAAAACTCAAGCTGTAGCTCTAGATATTTGACAGGGTTTGGCATGTTGGTCTTCTACATAAGCTCCAGGGCTACAGTATTACTGGGCATGTGTTTGATTTAATTCAATCGTTCCTATCAAATTGTGAAATGAAGGTTGTTTTGAATGGGTCTGCTTCCAGATCCTTTAGCATGAACACAGATGTCTCCCAAGGCTCTGTCCTGGGTCCTATGCTGTTTCTGACCTTCATCAATGATCTCTCTGATGTCATCAATTCCCAAGTAGACATTTATGCTCATGACACTACCATTTACTCCTGTCTCAATAGCAAATTCGTTAGAGTTGACAAAGTTAACCTGGTTGCTGCTCTCGAAAAGGACCTCCAATCAGTGGTTAACTGTGGGAGGAAATGACTCGTAACTTTTAATGTCTCCAAAATGAAACTACTCTCATTTTAACCACCGTAGAGAAACTTTCCTGCCCACCATCAGCACGGCTGATGCTAGACTCATGGAGAGCAACACGCTGTGCCTTCTTGGCCCCCACATTCTCAACCGACTTAAAGTGGAATGCCTACATCTAATCAATAGCTACATATACTTAAAGGATAGTTGGGTCATTGTGTTGTGCCAGAACATTTTACTTATCAGAGTCCATCTTGCACATTTAAAAATCTACCATTCATCCGTGCTCCTACTACTCATCTTGAGGTTCTTAACAAAATCCAAAAAAGGATTTGCAATGTAATCCATCCTGATTTTCCATCTTGACTTCAGTTACTTTCTCACCGACATGACATGGCTTCCCTCCGTCTTTTCTACAAATATTTCTGACAAGCTTTTTTCCTTGGTACCCAGACTACTTGTGTTTAAGCGTGCTATTAGATTGGCATCTAGGTATGTTTTACTGTTGAATTAAGTAAATTTATCCAACACTTCTACCCAACAGTTTCTTTTCTCACACTTCCTGCCTGTGGAACTCCCTTCTGTTTACTTGCTTCCCTGATAACTACAATCTTCAGAAATTTAAATGCAATGTCATTTGCCATGTTTTATCTTGAACTTCATACATCTTTTATCCTTTCCTCAATCCCCTATACCCAGTCTTTTCTCTCACTACTATATATATATATATATATATATATATATATATATATATATATATATAAAAATGTAAAAAATAAAATCCCTGGTTTAAAATCCTAAATGCCAAACAGCTCTAATACTGATATAGATAAAACAAACACACAGACAAACAGACACTCTCCAATTCTGGATTTTGATAAGCTAGCTTAATTAATTTTGTTTATGATATCCACTTATCCTCAGAGATCCCAAGACATTTTCCTCACACACAGTTTTGTCTTTCTTTCATTTTAACCTGAGGAAGCCAAAGAGAGCATACACTTCTCTGGCAAAACATGTCGTTAATAAATTTGTTCTATTTTGTCTCATCATCTTCAAAAACACTTCCATGTAAAAAGCATTAAACGGTTGTCTGCTGCTAAAAACGCATATCATACTTATTCAGTAAAATATCAAATTTTGCACACTCCTTGAACGTATAATACCAATAAATTTAAGAAGTGAACAAGTGGTTTCACATAAAGTAATTCCAAGTAAAGACTGATCCAATTACTGGCACCATTTTCTAAAGAAGTTATTTTTCTTATCTACACATTAATTGAGATATTTGGTGGTACACAGGTAAAACGTATCATCTGCATATTAAATTGCAAATTATTTGAATTTGTGTGATGTTCCCATATTGAAAAGATGTAACATAAAAAAAATTTTCATAAGCACTAGTTAAAAAAAAAAAAGAAACCCACAAAAAATAACAACATGCCTTGTTATTTGCTTCACCCACTTGTGTTAATAAAATGTGTAAATTTCTTCTTGTCCAGCCGAATCAGTCCAGTTGCATTCAGTGTTCCAATTGTCGGGCCAATAATCACGTCATGTCCACCTATTGTGGTGGTTGTGGAATGGTCATTACACCACCTTACAGAAACCCAAACCCAAACACAAGGTAATTAACACCTTTACTGTCTTAATAGAACTTAAATCTGATTGAATTTCTTTGTCACTGTTAAAGAAACAAGGAATCAGAATAAAGAAGTAGCTTCCACATTGGAACAGGTTTTGGTAAATTCCAGTGATTTTAGTTTTAAATTGAAGTCACTTAAAGGTGACGTCATCTGCAATGGCCAGACTGAATTTATACATACTTTTTTCTTTTTTTTCATAAACACACCTATTAATCTTTCAGTTCTTTTTAATGATTACAGTGAAAGGTGAAAATACACAAATGCAAGAAAATTAATTTTGGAAAGTTTACCATTTTTAATTCTGACATAATCATCCGGTTCAAACTCCTCTCTGGTTTTTTGAACAAGAGTAGAGGTTTATCCTTTATTCCCTGTTTAGGATTGGGTTTCTGCTTCCTTTTAAAATTTTCTCATTCTCTTTCACTCCAGTAGCCCCTTACATCTTAGTGGCATTATTGTCTTGCTTGGTGTGAATTGATTAACAAAACAAAAACTTAGCATGAAGTTGTAAAAACTAAATAAAATGTTGGACAAACAGACATTGTCAGTATTTTTCAATAAAAAGAATTATTGCTGCTTAAATAAATCACACACACACACACACACACACACACACACAGATATATATATATATATGCTATGCAGCGTATCTTAATTCAAATATGTTTCATTGAATAAGGTAGACATATTGCTTCTTTTTATAGTGATCCTTTCCAATTGTCTAATTAGTTTCTTGATCTTGAGATAGAATCCATCAAGGGAAGCTCCATGTTTTTTTTAACCCAAGTACTTTCGACCTTTTCTAAGGTCATCTTCAGGGGTAAATTACAATAACAAACATGCTATTATAACTGCAATAAAATCTACATTCCATTGTCGTAGAGATTTTTAAAAACATGCATGAATGTGCTTTGTTATAGTTATTTTAGAATTTTTAAAATTTATTTGTTGTAGTTATGGAATTTTTTATAAATCAAGTGTTTCAATATAAGGAGCTGACCAGGAATTTGTAGAAATGTAAAATGATTCCAATAAAAAAATGAATCTAATTATACATTATACTAAACTTAACACAACCAACTTAATCATACACAATACCTCTTCTCCATCAACTAGCATTTTGGGAAAAAAAATTTTTTATATCAATTTAAATGTCCTTTGGGAAATTGTATCTTTGACAAAAAACTAAGCACATATTTTGGTTTGACAATTGCAACATTATCAAGACGTCTTACACTTCATTTGTTGGATAGAAGTTCTATTGTACAGCATCTAAAAACATTCCTGTCCACTTTCACAATACAGGAAAATACTTCTTGACAAAACTAATAATACTACACCATGAAAATAATAAACCAAATCTTCAAATTCTCAAAGCAATCTATATCAAAATCAACCAACTGATACTCAACAAATTCATTATGAATATAGCAACAACATATTAAAGTGCATGTAACATTTAATGCCATTTTACATTTCTACAAATTTCCAGTCAGCTTTCTTATATTGAAACACTTGCTTTGTAAAAATAAGTAGACACAATATTTCTATATTATTCAATGAAACATATATTTATTAATATTCTGAAAGTAATTCCTTCCATTTATTTTCATAGAAACTACAATAAATAGAAGAAATAAAATAACATCATTGGATAAGTTTTCAGCTAAAAACACTAATTTACCATGATCAAAAGTGGGGGTGGTAGAGATATCACTATCACCACAGATGAAACACATTACCCATCACCTCACATCCATGATTTGGTCTTTGGGAATGTTCAGCAAGTATTTATGCATGGGTGAAATTCTCTCCACCTAGATGAATTCAATGACATTTTGACAGACTGCCACTCCACTGTCATCCATAACAAGACTAACAAATATTTTGGGTTTTATGAAGAAAAGTTCCCTCTCTCCTGCCACAACCCGAATACCTACCTCTGATGTTGTGGGACAACATAATAGGGTGCACCATCTTGTAGATGTAGTTTTTTTTTTTTTTTTTGTTTTTTTTTTTGTTTTTTTAACTTTCCAACAGTGTCTGATTGTCTCCCCTGAACTATTTATTAAGGATAAATGATTCCAATGTCATCGCCAACCATTCATATTGTGGGGGAATGATTGTGGCCATATGAACAAATTCTGCCAATTCTTTAGAATATATTTTTAGAGGTTTATTTTCTTCTTTTAATACATGAAATTTCCAATTTTGATGGGTGGGGGGAGTAAAACAACATTTGAAAAATCGGTAATTGTGATTATTGTAATAGATTTAATTTTCATTGCAATTTATTACACGTTTCAGAAACTGCTCATTATTGTCACAAGTAAGCACTAATGTGTAAATTTCAAAGTGAAAATATCAATAATATTTCAAAATATTTCAGAATTAAGAAATATGGAAAATTTCAGTTTGAATTTCTGGAATGAGGAGTTATCATTATTTACACTATTTACATATTACTATTGTCCTCATCTTTGCTGTTGTTATCACAATATTTTGGCTGTTTTGTGCACTCTGGCCTTCATCATGTGTATATCAATCTATACAACTATGGAGAAGTTGATTTTTGGTATACTCAAAGTGAATCCCAGATTTGAACAAATTTCTGCACCCAGAGAGAAGTTCTTGAATTGAAGAGAAAACAGGACTCTTTTATTTTTATTTATAATTTTTATTCTTTATTTATGTTTTTTATCATGAGCAATTTAGTCAGAAGCCTGTTCTAATAACAGAGTATAGAATGGATTGAGGAGAGGGATACACTCTTAATCTAACCAACAATGATACATTTATAGATTCTAACAAATATATGTAAATTAGTGAGTAAAATTTTAAATACATTTTTAAAAATATTAAGTATGGCAGTTGAAACTGAAAAGTTCTTGAAATGTAATAATTATGAATGGGAAAGTTTAAATTCATAAAAAAAACTCCTTTTCTGAAAAACTTTAATGGATTTATTTTCCTTTTCGTTTTCACAGTGCGGCTCTTGTAACTTCTGGAGATGTGAGTATTGAACTACCAAAATATTGGAAGCTAAAAATCTTTGGTATTTTGAAAGATAGCCTTTTTCTATGTATTATTAGGTATTACAAATTTTAATGGAAAGGAATGAAACTTTCAAAGGAAACAATGAGGAGAATTTTATATATATATTTATTATATAAATAACAAAAAGGGTGAGAAAAGTAAATAACGTAAACAACCTCCAACAATCTGAAATGTTTTCATCTTTAAATAACCTACAAAAGGTTGATAAGCTGTAAAAAATAATCACAAAAGAAATAAAATCATATTTCATATGTACAGATATCTAAAGAAAAGAGAAAATATTTATTGGATTAGCAGTACTGTGTCAGTGTGCCACGTGGTTTGGTGAAATTAAGTACTTGTTTTGCTGGCTGTTGTCTCCTTTAAGGGGGAGACAAGACAATATCTTATATGAACTACATTCTATGGTTGAAAAATCAAAAGAGAGAAAAAGGATTTATTTCCCTTCCTTTTATAGTTCTGAATAGAATGCTACCTAAAATCCATTTGCAAACAAGGTGGGAAAATAAAGGGAAAGTTTAAAAGCTTTGATTTGGTTTTCTGTCAGACATAATGCATCCATGGCCGAAGCATCAGAGAACCTATTATGGAAAAAGATTTGCCAAGTGTTTATCCCTTCGTACCCCAACACACACTGTTTCAGGGAATAAAGGTTTCAGTTATTGTGATGAAAAGAATGCTAGTGGAAAATTAATAATGGTTTCATCAAGATAATTTTACAAGCCAATATCAACTCCAGACTTGGATATCTTTGGTTGATCAAGAAGGGAGGCTAAAATGTGGGCTTCTAAATATTAAACCCACAATAATGCCAACTGTTCCATTTCAGATTTTTGTTCAAATATTGAATTCTTTACATTGGACATTGTGGAGTTACTCCACCTTGTCTGGACTTTACTTAGAACCACTAATAATAAAAATAGGGGGTCACACTCTACACAGGTAATTTTTTGAAGAGTTTAAAAATCATGCATTTTCCAATGAATGCAAATTTAAAATTGAAAAAAAATCTATTATTTCTTCATTTATATAAGGTATTTGTTGATTTTAAGTGGCATGCATAATGGATGGGGTTTTGCTCTTCATGTAGCAGCAAAAGTGAAAGACCTTAGACTATATGGGAGGCAGGCTCTAGTTAAAGGAGCTACCATAGTCAGGCATGAACTGAAGCAAAAGTATGGTTTCTAAATCTTCATATCAGATATTTTACGATAAGTAATTTTTTTCTCACCATTTTGGAGTAGCTTTGTACAAAAATAATGAAGATCATTTATTTGCTATAAAAATATGTCTAGTATGATACCCAGTACTACAATATTTGACTATGGTAGGTCTACTAGTATTGTTCACAAGGTAGGAGTCACATTGTATGCGAGCTATATGAAAAAATCAGGTTTTTCACAATAGAATTCAGTGGTTGCACTCTACATGAAGTAGACTTATACTCAAGTATATATGGTAATTTGTGCATAAAAGAAACTGAAGATTCAATTATTATTTTTCTTACATTATGCAATGTAAACAAATTGTGACGATTATTCACAGGTCTTTCAGTGAATGAAAATTACCCCAATAAACACAAATGCTTTTAATGATATTTCTTTTACACTTGTTTATGCAGATAATATACGAGGGGGGTGGGGGTTGTAAAGTTTCTGACCCACCCGCCTTTGTAAAATCTGACCAAATAACCAAACAACAGATTTTTCTTTTTTTCATGGCTTTCTAGGCTGAGCTGAGAATTTTATTTTTCTTCATCCTCTCATATTGATAATCATAAACAATAACTACAAAAGAAAAAACTATTTTATTTTCAAACAGAATCAATGGCTGCCAATGTCTCGGAATCACAATCCCATGTCAAGGTTAATGAATTCTGTTGCTACCCAGACAGTTGGTCTTTTTTATCCGTCCCAGAGGGAAATTCGCAAAAAGGAAGAAGAAGAAGCTGAAAAGGTAGCCTTTGAAAAACAAATGAGGGACAGGCAACCATTGTTGACTGCCATCAGTCCAGGTCGAGGTGAAACTATTTTTCTTTTTTAGTTCAGGAGCTTTTATCCTTTATGCACTCATAAATGCAAAGCACATACACCAATCCACTAATATTTTCCATAACAAGGCTGTTTTGTAAATTATTGTATTTTTGATTAATTATCAAATATTTCTGCTTTGGTGTCTTTTAGGTAAATGATGGTTGAGGGTACCATTTCATATATTTAGCAAGAAAATCTGTGAAAAGAAAAGCTGCTAAAATTTGATGTTCCAAAAAACCTAATCAATAAAAGATTCACTTCCAGCCATGTTGTACTGAAGATGATACAAATAGACATTGAAATATTTGCAAACATGGACCTTCATGCCTGCAAAAAAAACAAATTTCAAAAGGACATTTTTTTTTTCCTATGATATCACTATTATTTTAACTACCTTCACTCTTTGGTAATGTTTATTATTTCAAAAAACGATGATTAGAATTGTAATAAAACCTAAGCATATGAAAATAAATTTATACATTTTCTTTGTTCTTGACAATAAAAATAATAAACATTATTTATTTATTTATTAGAACATTTATTTACACTATTTATCTATCATATTGTTTATTGGAATGGTTGGCAAAAATTGGGCTAATTGCAAGTTGATTCAAACTTTATAAAATGGTAAATAATAAAGATTTTCTTACAGTTCATATGTTTTAATAATTTAATAAATGTTTATAAATTTATGAATAAAAAATAGTTTTTATATTTATTTCATTATAAATTGGTAAATGATAAATATTGCATTGCATTAGTTTTAATTGTATTAGTTTTTAGAATGTTGTAAATATAAAATAATTTTTGTAAATAAAGAAGCTAAATAGCATTTAATATTTTTCTTATAAATTCTCAAGAATAAAAAACGTATGAATTCACTTCCATCATATGTTTAGGTTTTATTACAATTCTAATCATGGCTTTTTAAAACAATAAACATTGCCAAGAAATGAAGGTAGTTAAAATAATAGTGGTGTCAAGGGAAAAACTGTTCTTTTGACACATTGTTTTTTTTTTTTTTTTTTTTTTTTTTTTTTTTTAGGCACGAAGGTCCATATTTATTAATCCATTTTCTCTTTGATCCCCAAATATTATCTGCATTATGTTCTTTAAATGGTATTTGGACAATTTCTACATAGTTTATGCCCAGAAAAGAAAAAATAAGAACACAACAAAAATTAAATAAAAAACTAACCACAGTACTTTGTCACTCATTTTTAAGGAAACGTGTTTGTGTGTGTATATATATATATATATATATATATATATATATATATATATACATGCATGCATATAAGTGAACACTGAATTTGACCTCAATGTTCACTTTTATATTTACATAAACTCTATGCCTGATACTAAGCATTAATATAGCTTAAATCTATATTTGTATAGCTTTTTTTTTCTGTCAACTATTGAACACAAATCTTTCCAAAATTCTGTTAGACATGGGGAGTTATATGCTTTTGTAGTGGTCTATTTGTTTCTCTCGCACCATGTCAAACGTCGGGGTTACCATATGTAAAGGTTTGGTAATAAGAATTGACAATTGTAGATGTCTGTTTATGGCTGCATGAATAACATGACCACACAATTTATATTTAACATAAAATACCACATAACATGAAATACAAGAAGGAACAAAATGGTTTTAAAACAACATTTGTATTTATTTGTGTATATTGATGTACATGCATAGAAGTTAAAGATCTGTTGGAGTTATGTCCCTTAGACTGAATATTTTTATCTGAACTCACAAAAGTTGAATTAATTATAAAGCTGAGAAATGCTGAATAAACTGTAGTTTTAGAAGAATATTTCAAAGAGAAAAGTTCTTGTTGCATGTTTTGAAATGTTCTGTATGTTTGTAATGTGGGTCGGAAAAGTTTGTACGTACGTGCATGCGTGAATATGCTTTTAACATCTGACCGCTCAAGAGGGGTGCGGGAGTGCGGAAAGGAGAGTAATGCTTGAGACATCTTCATTGCTACTTCTGTGTTCTCTCTCATGGCAGACTAATTGGCCAGATCTTCTTTTCAGTCAGCAGGTACTCCATCTGCTCTCTTCTGACTCTAACAGCATCTCTGACTCTCCAGTGACTGACTATGACGACATCTCAGCAGCTCGCTTGTGATTATCCTTTGTCTATGATGCTTCTTGACTATATAAAACCATTATTACAATTTTCTACCTCATGGCTGAATGTCAGTTTATTCCAAATGTTTTTATTTATAATTTATTTTTTTCTTTACAGCTTACTGTGTTGTACTAGACAATTTTTCTATTCAGAAACTCTCTTACATACTTATAAGTCTACCATTTGCCCATGCTTTGAATATTGCTGCCAAATAGGGTCAAGTATTTCTGCTATATATTTAGAGATTCTTGATAAAATCCAAACAAGAATCGGCAATGTTATTGACCCTGACCTGGCATCTCTCCTTCAGTCACTTTCTCACAACTATAATGTAGCTTCCTTGTGCCTTTTCTATAAATACTTTCATGGTAATTGTTTTGATGAACATTCCTCTATGGTACCAAGATGTTATGAATTTAAGTGCAGTACTAGATTAGCAACAAGGTCTCATCATTTTATATTTGAATTGGCTAAATTCTATGCTAACAGTTTCTTCTCTCTTGCACTTTTCACTTGTGGAAATCTCTTCTGGCTCCATGCTTTTCAGCCAAAACTTTAATCATCAAAACTTCAAATGCAATGTCAATTGTTATCTACTGTCTTCTTCATTCCTCTTCTTTTCTTCTTCTCTCTCTCTCTCTCTCCTTAATAATGCTTCTCTTTTTTTCTTTCTTTTTTTTTATCCTTTCACACTCAGTAACCCATTAGTGGTTTTACTGCCTTGCTTGGAGTGAAACAATTAAAAAAAATAATATTAATAGGCTTTTTTTCTCTCTTCTTCTAGGTTACTGGCGTAAGCAGATTGAACACATTTGCCAACACCTCAAGGTGCATGCCCAAAACTGTGCCGATTTTCGAGCACTCATTGCAGAACCCAAAATGGGAAAGGTAATAAATTTCTTTTGAGCAAAACTTCCATGTATACAGATGTGCACACACCATTTTACATAGATATGTATCTATCTCAAATTTGTATTTCTTTATACCAATGCATTTGCATATGTCTATACAAAATGGGTGCTGAAAAGTACTCAGTCTGACCAAATTCCAAAAATGTAACTAAACATCATTTTTTTTTTTTTTTTTTTTTTTTTTAAGCACTTCTTGGTTGGGATGAGAACTTTTACCCCCAGCTACCATATATTTAAGTATTTTCATATGAGACAAAGTGGAAAAATTCTGTGTAACATGTTTCATCCACTAAAAGGATTTAATTAGATTAAAGTAATGTTTTTATAGATGGAATTGTATATAGGTAGGAGTAAGAAGCGGGGATATAAGCACAATTGTCAGAATTATGTACCATAAGGAAATGCTGAAGATATGTAAATGCTGAATTTAAAATTTTAAAATTTTTGAGTTTAATATTTTTATCAAACATGTTTGGACACACAGTATTACAATTGTATTCAGTCTGCCTATGCTTTTGTTTTTACGTATGTCAAATTTTCATAACAGAAGATCGTTCGATGAATGGTACAGTTTTTAAGTTTTTGAAACCATAAACATGCAGTTCTTTCGAAAAATTGTAATTATGAAGGAAGAAATAAGCCTTCCATCTCATCCTTCTTAGTAAATCCTCAGTTTTCTGAAACAATTCCATTTTTGTTTATGCTGGGGATCTCACTAACAGAAGATCTACCAAGAAAGGTCAAATGACATAAGTAACTTGATGTTATGAAGAATCTTGGATACTTAAAAAACAAAAATCCATTTCCATTTTCCATGTTGTTATTCATTTGGCTAAAATTGTTCTGAAATATAGAAATTTCTACAAAAGGATGTTTTTTTCCTTTGATACATAAACATATGATGGAAGTGAATTTATACATTTTTTTTTTGTGCTTGAGAAAATTTACAACAAAAATATTAAACCCTCTTTATTAGATTACTTATTTACAAGAATAATTTATTATTTACAACATTCTAAAAACTAATACAGTGTGATATTTATCATTTACCAATTTATAAAGAAACTAGCCAAATTGCCCCTGTCTTGCTATGTGTCACACATTTTTTTTTGTAAGAAAATGATTGATTTTAAATCATTGTTATAATTTGAGGAGAAAAATGACGCATTTCAATATTAATCAATGATCTTGCCGATGTGACCTCCATCTTCTGGCTTTCTCCTTCTGTATTTTGGATAGGAGTCATTCCCTTGTGCACAATTTAAATTTAATTTAAATCAAAGGGAAAAAAATTTTCAGTAAGGGTTTGTACCCACTGGGGACCCACTTTGATCAAAATGATCTTGCAGATGTGACCTCCATTTTTTGGTTTTCCCCTTCTGTGTTTTGGACAGGAGTCATTCTCTTGTTCAAATTTAATTAAAATCAAAGGGAAAAATATTTTTTTTTGGGGGGGGGTGCCCTCAAGGGCCCCTTTGATCAAAATAAAACACACTTATCCAAGTACTCAGGGTAATGTAGTTTCATAATATGTATGGTTATAGAGAGGGAGTCTATCTCCAAATCCCTAGAAGGAGTTTGATAACAGACAGACAGACTGACAGAGGCTACAACTTTATATATATATATATATATATAAATTTGAGTATATTCTCAGATATAATCTATGGAGTGGACAGTATGGATTTTTTCATCTATTCATACTATCCTCTGTACAGATTATATCTGAGAATATACACAAATTGTTGACATGGAAAACTAAAATATATATACTTAATCAGAAAATATATACAATTCCTCACATTTGCTCATTCCTACAGGAAAGAACTTTCTCAGATACTGCATTGAAGAAGTCGTCAGTTTCCAATGCTCATAAAAACATGTCAAGGATTTGATACAGTTGCCGAAAGATTTACAGATTTATAGTTCATATGAAAAATTGTTTTTGAGTATGCAAAATGGTGTTTTAATATTCTTCAATTGAACTTATGAATATTTATGAGTGTTTATAATTTTCTGGTAACGAACACCATTTCATTTTTGTTTTGATTCAATACATTGTTTTAGAATAAATTCATTTCATTTTTGCTTTGATAAAGTTTGTCAATGAATAAAACGAATTGCCTGAAATTAAATACAGTTTTCCTCTTGTGTTTTTTCTTCTATTCAAAGAAATTAACATAAAAATAAATTTTTATTCATAAATTTATAAACACTTACTAAATTATTAAAATATACTGTAAGAAAATCTTTATTATTTACCATTTTATAAAGTTTGAATCAACTTGCAATTAGCCCAATTTTTGCCAACCATTCCAATAAACAATATGATAGATAAATAGTATAAATAAATGTTCTAATAAATAAATAATGTTTATTATTTTTATTGTCAATTATCAAGAACAAAGAAAATGTATAAATTTATTTTCATATGCTTAGGTTTTATTACAATTCTAATCATGGCTTTTTAAAGCAATAAGCATTGCTGAGGAGAGAAGGTAGTTAAAATGATAGTGGTATCAAGGGAAAAACCGTCCTTATGACACACTGTTATTTTGCAGGCAGGAAGGTTAAAGATTGCCGAAATTTTTTATTTCATCCATTTTCATGTGTAAACCCCACTTTCTTCCAATTTTTTTCTTTTTATAACAAATCAAACAGAAATCTAAATGTTTAATAATTTTTTTTATATCAAATTTTATTTTGAATAAATTCTATTCCCAAATGAATTCTAAATTTTTCCCTGTAATTTTAGAAAAAGGTCAAAGGTCTTCATATTTCTTAAACTGCAAGTAAAGGACACAGATTAATCACTTTCAGATATATGCATTTTGTATCTTGTTTCTTGCAGTTGGTCTCTGGTACGGTGCATGAGGATGCTTATGAACTCAGCTTGACTCTGAATTTTGCCCTGTGGGATCCACCTCCGTCCATGGCCAATGGGAACTTGACAGTCACTCCAGCCAGAGAAGATTATACGTCTCCTTACCCAGATGGAAACATTCTGGAAAGTTTCCGAAGTGAATCTAGCCAGGGTAAATAAGATTACCTTCGTGACCACTTATCCTCTAAATATGGTACCACCTCCTCTCTCATGCATACAATAGTAATAAGAATATTAAATTTTACATAGGATCCAACCAAGATAATTTCAAAAAGTGTTACTACAATCATTTAAGTAGCTTTAAGCATGAAAATTACAAACACATCACCAGACTGTCTATATACATATGGAATATTAAACAGGAACATGGTATTGACCCAATTTTAAAATGGGAAATACTAAAAAAAATGCCATAAGTATAAAGCAGGGAACAAGTATTGCTTATTATATATGGAGGAAAAATTAGCAATAGCCACCTCCATATGAACCTTATAATTTATTAAATCAAAGATCTGAGATTTTAAATAGGTGTAGGCATAGGAAATCCTGGTTATTGGAATAGAGGCTCTGTGGGGTTTTTTTTTCCTATCTTCTTATGTCATGTGGTTTTTATCAATAAAAATTGTGTCATTTCCTCTTTAGCCAGATTACCCTGAAGATCTATTTATGTGAAACCTAGGTGGGTTTTTCCTGGCTCTTTAAAATTTGTCATTTATCCCAGCTCTACTTAGCATATTGAGCACTCTACGTTTTAGCTTTATTACTCGCTTGGGATTTTTTCTTTGGACTTAAAACTTAAGGCACGGGACAATTTATTTCGCCCTCTTCGGATGTTTCTAGTTCTTTCTTTTTTTCCTCAGGTACAAATTTGTTTTGATATACTTGCAATTTGTGCTATCTGAGGTTTTTTATCAACTGAATATTACTATCAATATAATAATATATGTATGCATGAGATAGAGACAGTTTGAAGAGCATGCAGACAGAAGCCCTGGGGGGGTGTTATATTTATTGAAATTGAGGAAACACTCTTTGAACAAATCATTCTAAAAATTGACACACAATGGAGGCTGAAGTGTTTAATGATGAAAATATGTTAAAAAACAACAGAAACAAGGAAAGAAGAAAGTATTTTTCATCAATTAGGTTTGTATTAAAGTTTCAAGCAAAAAACAGAAAGTGTGTATTCAGATGAATATGCTGAAAATTTTTGCACACCCTTAAATTTTATTGCTCTGTATATGACTTCATTTGCTGTACAAAAAGTTTATCCTGCCACTGAAGGTGACTCTGATCTTTGAATTTGTTTTGAATTTCATAGTTGTGTTGTCATATCCTGCTATGGCAACAGAGAACACCTTTCAGTGAAATTAACAATAAGATTACTGCAATTGAGAAGCCTTGAAAAAGTATGCAGTGTGCTAAATGTTAATATTTGTGTGTGTGTATTCTAAGTATAAGCCAAAGTGTAATGTGTTATCCTTATTAACAATCAAACACACAGAATGCTTGTAGATTTCTACATCTGATTTTTCATTGCTTTTCTCTATTTAACTGAATTCCAAAGAGTTTACTTGCTCTCTCTCCTTTCACACATGATCAGCCACACCTGATTTTAGTCTGAATAAATCAAAGCAAATAACACACACACACACACATATATATATATATATATATATATATATGGCCATATCATGTTGAAAAAACGGTTCTTGCAAGATCACTGAAGCAACATTGAGCCTGGTCAGTACCTATATGGGTGACCACTTAAAACCCTGGCTGTGAAATATGGGGCTGACACACCCAACTGAAAGTGCCAAATATTCAACACTTAATGTAAAGCAAGTGTTATTTCCATTATTTACATTCAGACAATTATCCTTGTCTTTGTTATCATAACTTTTCGGCCATTGTACCCTCTGGCCTTCTTCAGGTGTTTGACAATCCAGGTAATCTTCAGGGGCTTTCAAACAGAACACTTTATTTAATTTATGATGGTAGACGTTTCTTGATCTGCTGTCCATGTCGGGTCTTGTTCTTATTTATTGCTTGCACAGTTTCCACTGAGTTTTAAGTTTGCACTACCTAGCCCAGGGATTGAACTCATACTTACCATATCATGAAATTGATGAATCAATGCTTTAATCACTTGGTCATTGTCTGATAGGTCATTTCAGACAGAATGCGCATTCTGTGGCCGTCACATGATAAGAGGATGTCTTCATCTTTTTTTTTTTTTTTTTTTTTTAGATGTTATTATCCATGCACTTTCTTGGAGTTTTTATTTTATTTTTCTTCAAAGTGTCCGAGACAACAGAAGACTCAGCAACAGAAAAAGTCATGAAGACTAAGAAGATTCGAAAAATGAAGTCGACCAAAAAAACCTCTGAAAACAGATTAGCGGTGAGTTCTTAGAAATCTCTTTTAATGAAAATAAATGTTTGATGGCATCTAAGACATCCTCCTCCCCATCACAACTCCTGATAAAGGAACTCCTACAAGAAAGCCATGGCTCATCTGAGTGGGTCATAGCACATAAAAACCCAATTTAAAAGGTGGAGTTTGTAATATGCACACTGCCATCTACTTTAAAACTTCCAGCACAGACATGATGGTCATTTTATAATACCTTTTGTCACCACCTCCACCTGGTGGTGTAACCATGTTTAATGTGGTCTGCTCTTCAGGGCCTTAGAACGACATTTTAACCAAGGGGCTAACTCTGTGCTGATCAATGCTGACGCTGGTTCAAGCTGGTTGTTGACTTCTGGCCACTTCGATCCACACCAAATCTGCCCAGGCTGTGTTCTTGATCTCAGAGCAGTGAAAAATTGAAGGTCATTGTCTTGTAGCCCCAGTTCAAGCTGTGGTGGGTGCTATATTAAGGAAAAAATAGCTTCACAACGAAGAATAAATCGAGAGATTATTTCAGCCTGAGGATTGAAGGGTTCTGGTGATTCGGTGATTCCTCAATTTTCATTAATTCCAATAAAGGTTTTCTTTGTTCCTTATTTCTGCTTTCTTTAATCAACTTTCCAAATTCACAGAATTATCCACCTTCCATGCTCCTTCCTTAACTCCAACCTGCTTCACTTCACATCTTACACCACTACTTTGCACAGGCAGGACAAAATTCTGCCCCATCCTCCTTCCTTTTCAGTATTCTTACTGCCCATTTCTCAGGGTTGCCATAACTGAGAAAAAAAAAAAAATTTTTAAAGTGCATAGGAGAAAGGGCATAGTTTATTCTCCTTGTTAACTTCAATCCTCTGATTCCTTTTCTGGACTCACTTGTCCAGCGAAAGCACAAACCAGATCACCTTCACATTTTAACCTTCTGAGCAATAGATAATAATTATTTCTCAATTTGTTTTTGTCAATGAAAATATATTTGTTTACCTAAATTCTCAACAAAGAGACACACTGTTTTGCATTCTTGGGCCAGTCATCATCTTAGTGAAAACATAAACCAGATCACATGCCTGTTATGACAGATCAATTTTCATATTCCTAACCTTTGCATTGGGTTCATTCTCTCTTTTGATTTCTCAATTTGTTGAATATAATTCCCACCTGCTTCTCTTTTCACCAATGACATGTGTGTTTCTAATTTCTTAAAAAAGAGATGAGCCACTTCCCAATTTGCTTTACCCACATGCCAGATTTTCTATAGATAAAAAAGATGTAAACTCTTGCTGCATCATTCCAATTCATAGGGGTTCAACAACCCAGATGGCCTTTTCTCCTCTTCCAGAGAAAATGTCTTCCATTCTCTCTTTATATCTTCCAGTTTATATTTTATTTTGGGCTTTTTCTGCTTAGAATTAATGTTTAACTGCCTCACAGCCTCAGTGTCACAATTTCACCTGCAACTGATGTGATGGTGGGGATTCTGTTGTGACAGAAAATGAGTCCCCCCACACAATTGGCTTGAAACACACACAAAGTAGACTATGAATGATTTTATTTGGGCCCAAAGTGCAGCATTTTTTATGGCTATGAAGACAACAAAATTTATGGAGGATACCTTCAAAGTGAGCAGAAAGAATTCAGATAAAGATTTTTTTGCCAAGTGAATCTGTGAATAAACACCCAAATATAATGAGAAACAAAATTCATGTTTTTCATTCCTGTCTTAGTGTTATTTTACCTTCTATTCTCTTGTGAATATATAATGAACCATTCCTGGTTTTTTGCACCCTTACATAGATTGGAATTAAAACATAATATGGGGTCAATTGTCCAGTTCTGGGGATATATTTATACTGTAATAATTGTTGAAAATCTTTGCAAATTCAAGCCATGATGATGATAGAGATCTGGATTGATTCATTTTTTATGGTTTATCAATCCTTTGAAGGCTCTTTAAAGTCAGCAAATATTTTTAAATTGTAAGAATTTTTTTTGTAACAATAATGATTTAGTGATACAAGTCTTAATATTTAACCCATAGCTGGGGGAGAATAGATGGATTCATGTCTTTGCCAAGGGTATTTGCACGTAAGTAAATGTGATGAACCTGACTGGAATTGGAACTCAGTTCTCCGATTAACAATTCTGAGGCATTATTCATTACACCAAAGTAACATCTAAGTTTACAGTCCCTGGTATTCTCACGTGGTCACCCATCTAGGTACTGACCAGGCTCAATGTTAGTTAACTTTGGTGATCATAAGAGAACCAACATTTCAACACTATATGGCCATAAGTCCATTTCATCACCTGCACATCGAGGTTTGCAACACCTAGTATTCCCAAGCAGTCCCCCATTTAGGCACTGACCAGGCTTGACATTGCTTAACTGTGGATGAACTAACTGCATGGTTTTCTGGCCAACCCTGCATGCATTCCTGACAGTATAAGTATGCAACTGCATGCTTTGGTTTAGATACACTTCCTCCTGGAAGTGTATATATTCATAGTGGATGACATTGATGGATATGATCTCTAAACAAAGAACTTAGCATTATATGTGACCTACATTTCTAAAATACTTGCTAAAAATTTACTGTAAGTGTGCTAGTTAGGATGTTAAAATAACCTTTCTCAATTTCATTTAAATTTTGCAGAATTTTGCTAAACACGTTTAATCTTGTAACCATAACTTCCTTGGGTATGACAGGTGGAGCAGGGGAAATTTAGTTGTACTGAATTTACTAAATCTTAGGTTTATTTTGGGTTCACATCCCACTGATGTTATTCACATAATTGTTTTTAAAACCAAATTCCCCCCCCCCATCAGGTTCCAAGTTGATGTCTGCTAAAATTTTTTTCATTTTGTATTTTTATTCCTTCCACTAAACTAACGTTTCATCCATCGGAATCACTGTTGCATTGTCAGCAATGTGCAATGACAACATCTAATGACATGGAATTCTTTTTATATATGCATTCAAAAATACATTTGATTTTCTCCTTTTCACTTACTCACACTCCTGATAATGACTCACATATGTCGAAAGGTTGGACCTAATACAAATTTTTGTTAGTTTTTACTTTGACAATAGCCTCATTTGTAAAGCGTTATTTGCATATCATAAAAAAATGATCAATAAATAAGACAGACAGACACACACACATATATATATATATATATATGTACATGAACATGTAGCCAGCCCAGCTACATATTGCTGTATTTTGATCTGAAATTTTTTTTTCTCCATTTTCCTGTTCAATTGAAATAAAATTTGTCCCCATCTGAATCTTTTTTTTTTCTTGTTGTAGCCCATTGATCACAAACTCCTGAAGGAAGTTGGTGCAAAAGGAGGAGGAGAAGTTTCCCAAGTGCAACAACTTATTGATGAGGTTAGTGGGACATATTTATTGTTTTCATATTTTTATCAACCGTGATCCTTATCTCTCTGCCAATTAGTTTGTCTCGGTCTTATCGTCATATTTATCTGCCCATCTGTTCATACCTTTGTCAACACCAATCTGTCCCCCATTAGATCATATCTATTTATCCACCTGCCTCTGATAACTGCATGTTAACGTTCTGTTAGTCTGCTGGCTATGCTAAGGGAGATAACACGTATTAAATATAGAATTAGATCAGTGGATAATAATATGCCATAAACTTCCATAGGATTGACAGAAAACTTACTGTGCTGTGCAGATTTGATGATAACAAACTGAGCAACAAATTTTTTCTGTTTTATAAATGTATAGCAGAAATAACCACAAAATTTAACATAAAAAAAGGAAAATAAGAAAATCGGCAGCCAGTTCCTGAAATCTCCGGATGAGTGAACTGAACAATTACAAAAAGAGGAAATTCTGAAATTAAGGTGCTGAATATAACATCAATCAGCAAAGTGACCAATTTCATAATTGGATTAATCATATATATATATATATATATATATATATATATATATATATATATATATATGTGTGTGTGAAAAGATTACTTAAATTTTTGTTGTGGACTGTTAGGGCCCAGAAAGAAAGACAAAGAAAGAAGGTAGGTAGGATGAACCAGTGTATTGAAATAAAAGAAGATATATACAAAAAAAGAGTGTTATTAGTCAGCAGATAGAAGTGTCCATCCAAACTATCAGGTTACACTGTGTCCCGACTGCCTGCCTAGGATGTCTTGTAGGTTAGTATTTATAAAGGAGGAAGAGTTCATTCTAATGTAAGAGAAGTCACCATAACACCCACCTACTAAAATCTTAACTCTGCACAAGTCTGAAAAAAAATCTTTTTTTTTCCTTTTTTTCTATTAAAGTTCTGAGGCTGTATAAGTAGCAGTAAAAAAAGTTTCACAAAAATTAATCCTGAGGAATATTTTTATAGAAAGTTTACCAACTTTGGAACTTTGTTTAATTTATATAGAAAATAAGCATTTCCTTCTTTACAACTGGCTAGGTATTTAAAATTTGGCTGACTTGTTTTACCAAGTTCAAAGTAGAACAACTTCGAGAACTTTTATTTGTTTGTGGTCTCAATACTTTTTACATTTAGGATTGACAACTATTAAATCAGTTGCTTTCCTTTTTCTCTTAGAACGACGCGTTTCAGGAGCTGCTAGAGGAGTCCTAATATTGAAAATGTCGTATATGACATCCATAACTGTTTCCTCAGGAAGCCCACTATCTGTAAAATGGGTTAGGAGGCAAATTATTTCGCTTTTTCTTTGTTTCATTAGTTTTAGGAGACTGTTTGTAGTATACTTTTTTTGATGTGAGCAATACCCAATTCTTCGATATTTTTCGAATCCTGCTTTACACTGACATACCTCTGACATTCTTCAACGATCTGCTGTAGAGTTATAATTCGACTCATTCTCCAATTTGTTTAGTATTCTTTGCCTAATTTCTCCATCTTTGGTTGAAACTAGTCCTTGCACGAATATCAAACATTAGAAGTTATTCGCACTTAACTCTGCGAGTCTAAAATCATCGCAGTGCCTGTTTACTACTGACACAAAAGTGGTGGATCATTCTTTCTTAGTTAGATTAAGACATTTTCATCTCTTATGGAAAAGAGATGTCTTTGGACTGAAAAGCTCCATGAGTAATTCCTCTTTTTCGGTGAATGTCAACTCGTTAGTCTTCCATGGCAGAATGTAGCTTATAAATTTTATGTGTTCAGGTGTGCCAAGTTTCTTCAGAAGATGTACTTTTTTCGAGTCACTCCAATTTGCACAATCTGTAGTATATAAATCCTCATATCTCCTAAAGTATGACACAAAGGTTATGTCTTCCCTGGGAGTGTATGAAAAATTCTCTATCGCGCTCCAAATAGTGATTTGCGAAAAAGAAAATTCATTTTTGATGGAATTACTATGGCTTGTCAATTCTAAAACTTACTTTTGAAATTCGAGCTGTCTCTCTTGATTTTCCTTCTGGGTTTGCAGAAATAAATTTTCCATTTTTTCCTGTTGAGAGAGCAGTTGTTTGTTGCCACTTCTCTTGCTGTGCATTCTGGTACTTTGCAAGATCTAACAAAATACTTTTGAAATCTTCCACGATAAGTGTCTTTTTTTTTTTTTTTCCCCAGACGCTTTTCAAATGAAAAAACTGTGACAAAAAATAAAAAAAAAATTTCTTGTACATCCACTGTTAAAACAAATTGGCAATTACATGTAGTTCTTTTACGAAAAATCATTTGCCTGTGTTTTAGGAGAGTTCCTTTTTAATCCTGGTGGTCCTTACAAATCCTTGTCGCCAAGTTGTTGTGGCCTGTAAGGCTTCAGAACGAAAGACATGGAAAAAAGAAGGCAGGTTGAACCAGTGTATTGAAATAAAAGAAGATATATACAAAATAAGAGTGTTATTAGTCAGCAGATAGAAGTGTCCAACCGAAACTATCAGGTTACACTTTAGTTAGCTGTTTGCCTTTTAGTCTTTTTTTCTTTCCTGGTTTAGAATTTGTTAAATGCCATAAGAAGACAGAATGCATGGTTGTTAGCAAAAAGATTTAAATATCTGGGAAGTGTTTTAACATTGAATAGAAAGTGCAACACTAAAATCCAAAGATGCGTTGTGATAGCCAAAGATGCATTCCATAAACTAAGCAGAGTATTAAGAGACAGGAAAACTTTGTTAGAAAAGAGTTCTGAACTATTACGTGATATCTGTCTTGTCTAAAGTTATTTTTTAATAGGCCTTTATGATAAAATATAGTTTAAAGGTGTGCTATATTTATGGGTTGAAGTGCTCAATATCAGGGATAGAGTATATGTAAATATAAAAGTGGGCATTGAAGTGAACACCCAAAGGCAACAGTCTGTTATCAGGTCTGATGATTGCATTTTGCATGAAACAAACTGTAGCCTAAAATAGTTTTAAGGTATGCAATATATCATAGAGCATAGTGAACCTTGAAATCATATATATATATATATATATATATATATATAAAGACATATTTTATGTTTAACGTTGTTATTTTATAAAAATATGTCTTTTAATAAATAAATTGTCGGACCTGTCCATTTCTTAATATATATATATATATATATATATATATATATATATAGAGAGAAAGAGAAATGATTCCTTTGAAATATCTCAACTATGTAAGATGAAATGCATGAAAATCAGTTTATATATATATACCTCAGTGACTGGTAATTACTTTTTTGCCATTACCCTATCACAGAAGCACATACTTGAACATCGAAAGTTCACAAGACAATAAAAAAAAAAACATGAAACAGCAACTATGAAAAGATAGCAGGATGAATATAAAAAAAAAAAGAACAATTTTATTTGTCTGCACCACTTTTATCTCACAAAATATATATATATATATATATATATAAAAAAAAAAAACTTTTGGTCCTGTGGCTTTTGCACAGCCAAAATCCTTTTACAATTTCATTACCCACTGAAATTTCAGTTTTTGCCGCCTGCTGATATATATTTCATGATCTTTTTGAAGGATCTCTTCCAATCCAGATTTAAACTGTTTGGTTAGATGGAGCACAAGAAATAAATCATAATGTTTGGTGGACTTCCACCATTTTTGCCAAAAAGGGCACCTCGATGTGGTGTATTGATTAGCAAGTTTGTCTCACTAGAACGATTACAGCTGGATTGTCACTGGGTGCTCCACACTCTTGGCCTTGTGCCACTAAGCTGTACTTAGGCAAATCACCATTTTTGCCAAAAATAATTTGTCACTCCTCAATGTGGATATATAACATCATGCACATTGAATATTTGGTCTTCTTAAGATAAGGAAGTTGTGAAGAGCCATAAACATCCACATTCTGATAAAAAAAAAAAAAAAAAAAACCAATTCTGAAGCACTCGCTGATTGAGAGCATTTTTTTTTTTTTTAACACAAAGCCTCTTTCTACATCTACTGTATCCAAGTTTCTCATTTACCAATCATTTTTGGATTCTGTAGGGTGCTGATCCAAATTGCACCAACAAAGATGGAGTTCCAGTGTTGTGTGTAGCTGTGAAGAATAAACACAAGGATTGTATTCCTGTCATTGTTCAAGCTGGTGCTGTCATTAACCAAAAGGGACCTCCATCTTGGTAAGGAATTCTCTTGCTTGATTTTCCAGTTTGACTGAAATCTTTCATCTTCTGATTATATTTTCTCAATATCGAGTCTCTGTATCTTCTGTTCAAAAATGAAAATTACTGCTGTTCGTACTATTTTACAGGTTGGTATGTTTTTAGACTCTCAAAATTAACCTTTACTTAAACAAAAAAACAAAACCAACCTTTGTAGTTGTTTTGCTGATTCAAGCGACTGCAAACAACTTATTTAAAGAATATTTTTCTGTGATAAACTAATTTTTTCTGCTGCATTTATTTTAGGAAGAGAGATGATTACAAGTTCTGGTTGCAAAAAAAAAAAAAAACTTTGTATCTGCAGATATTTCAGATGGGTTTGGAGGACTTTATATATACGAGTTGCATTCTTTTGAATATTGTAGCTGTGTGCAAGACTATAAAATAAAATTCTTTCTAAAAAGAAAATAAAAAGGTGGCATTGAGACCACACACTTTCCTTTTGCATTGTTCACAAAGACAACTGCAAAACAGATTTGATAACAATACAAAGCATATGTTCAGCTGTCTGGATATTCTTGGAATAATGCATCTTGTCAAAATTATCAACAATGAACTAAGCTTATAAATAAACTGCCAAATGTAACAGTTTGCTTCACACTGATGATGGCTGACTGTTGTGCCCTTAAATATAGTCATTAAAAAAAACACTATTGAAAAATCAAGTTTGAATTCTATGTAGAAAAAGCAGATTTCTTCAGTGTCCGTCTTTTTAGAATTGGAAAACATGCCCCATCCCACAAGTTGGTTATGAATGCTAAAAGCAGTTGTTTCTTTGAAATTTGTCTTCTGTAGAATTGAATCCATAACAGGACTAGTTTAATTATAAAAGGAATCTATTTGACACAGTGAGTTTTGTTTTACAGCCATGGTAACACAGCTCTCCATCAAGCGGTGAATTTAGGACCCGAAGGCGTAGACATCTTAGAAGTTTTACTGAGGTAAGCAGCATTTGCTTATTTGATAACATCAGATGAGTCAAAACTGTTATTCAATGATTTGTCTTTCATTTTGGTTGGTATACTATCTCTCACCTTCATCAGGTGATATTCTTTGATAATGAATCCTCTTTCACAAGACCAAAATACCACTTATTTATTCCATGCTCAAGCCATTTTTTGTTTTCTTTTAAGATGCGGAGCTGACATGAAAAAGAAAAATGACCGCGGAGAAACTGCTTATGATTTGGCAATAAAGTCAGGATATGAGGTTTTAAGTCGGAGACTTGTGGCCAGCCTGGGCCAGTCCCAGTTAGAAAAACTTCTTAGGGGTAAGCAAACCCCTCTTGAGTGAGGTCCTACCCTAGCAGAAGCCAGGTGTGTGTTTAAGGATCATTGATTCCTGATGAATAAGCTATTTTCATAACTGAAATGAAAGGTGTGGGGGGGGGGGGACTTACCTAATTTGCACCTTCAGCTCATCAGGTTCAAGCTGGGTTGAAATGACTTGGATGGAATAATAAAAAAAAAAAAAAAAAAGCAACAAACAACTGCTTTTCTCCCTCCTCTACCAGCTGCACAAATTACTGGCACTAAATTCCATCCAAAACGTCCACTAACTTTCATTTTTCGTTTTAATTTTTGAAAGAGAAAAAAAAAAAAAAAAAAAAAAAAAAGCTTAAAAACTGAAGTAACCCAAACACTTCATAATATTCAGCTTTCTAACAAAAGATGTTTTTGCAATGAAAGTTGTGTGGTTCCTTGTGGAGAGTGATAACCACACCACAGTTGAATGCTTTTATCTTTTATGACGAAAGAGGAGTTACTTTCCATGCAAGAACCTTTTAAAGAATGATAGTAGAAAATACAATTACATAAAGCAGGGGGAGTATTTAACTCTCTCCCCCTCAGCATACTTTAATGAGCAATTGGAAAAAAAAAAAAAAAAAAATTATAAAAAAGGTAGGTTATTAGATTTGAATTTCCACATTTTCATGATCAGATAATGTTGAAACTAATACAGTACCAAAATACTTTATTTGTTTATGTACCCCCCCCACTCCATAAGTGGCTCTTCTATTTTTCTTGTTGACAGAAAATTTGATATTGTTACAAGAAAATTAAGTTGGCTGAATAAATAAAATAAAAATTGCCTGTTTTGTTTACTATTTTTTCTGCAAAGAGGAAAATAAGCCCCCTCCCACACAATCACGGAAAATGTAAACAGTTGAATTCTAAACAGATCGTTAACAAGAGAGACATAAAAATTCCAAATACAAAGTTACCCCCCCCCAGACCTTTACAAAAGCTGACAAGTTTAATTAGGCACCCTCATGAGGTCGCTAAAAACAGAGCATAGCATAAAAAAAAAAAAAAAAAAAAAAAAAAAAACTTGATGAAAACAAAATTTTATTTTGGAAAATCTTGCTTTCAGAAACTATTCACAAATGATGGAACTTATAAATATGTTTTCCATTTTTTAAAGTCATAGCAAATTTTTTTTTTTTTACATATGTATTACCCCCGCCTCTAATTGTACAAAAACTATAATTTCAATTTTGGGCAGATTAGTGATTATATTAGTTAAAAGCACAAGGCTTTGAGGAAACCAAATTTTTTTTTTTTTTTTTTAGTTGGACCACTTCTACCTGAAAATCGTCTCTAAAGTGTAACATTCAAAACAAAAATATTATTGAATTTCAAAAGCTTTTAATTGCTTTCTTTCAATGAACATAGACAATATTGTCTGAAAGCAAAAAGATATTTTGATGAAAAATGAATTTTTTAAAACAATTATTTATTTCTGAAATATTTTATTATTTTTACATTAAATGTTAATTCTTCTAAAAATAGGGAAAAATTTGTAAAATTTAACAAATGTTGTTAAGTAGATATATATTTACAGATTATAATTTCCAAAGTTTTTTTTTACAAACTAACAAACAGTATATTAAAAAAAAAAAAAAAAAATTGTCAATAACACTGTAAATCAAATCTACGGAAGACTGGAATTATCATGCATGCAATAAAAAAAAAAAAAAAAACGTCACATGGATTGAGTTGCTGTCTAGTATTTTAACTTAAATACTAAGTTTTTAATACAAGTATTTATTTCTTTAATTGTGATAGATTTTTACATTTAAGCTGTTAAAATCTAAAATTAGTTAAAAGCCGCATTCAGTTTCATAAATATCCTTTTGAGATATAGATTTATTTTTGTGAAACACGTATGGAGAAATTAATTTGATTTTTCAATTTCAACTGAGAAGAGTATCTACAAGTATCAGTATCATCTTATGAAATTTAAGTTTGTATTTTATGCACACTTCTGATAAAATTTCATAAGAAAGGTACCTATAAATTAATTAGATACCTTTCTTATGAAATTTAATCTATCTTTAATTTCTTTATATATTTTCCATAAAGCATCATAAAAGCTAAGTACAAAAAAATTAGAACACTGAAAGTTTTCCTTAAAAATAACGAGGTAAACAATTTGTTCACTTAAATCTAAATAACTTCACATCTCTCCTTCCATAGCTTACGGGAGGATAATTCTTTCTATCAAAACGTCACGAATGTCTTTAGTCACCTTGTCAAGTGATGCGGAGGTCATGACCTGCTTTTTTTTTTATTTTTTTTATTTTCAAACTATGTCCTTTCAGCACAGAAACTAAGTTAAGCTTGGTTCAAAATATTTTAAATAAACATCATAATTTCCGATTTTCTTAAAATAAGTTTTGAAAAAATTATAATTGATTTTTAAAAGAATTTCAAACTGATTTTTTTTCTTTTTTTATAAATGGGGGAAAAAAATGGCTGTCAATACTGATTATCTGTCAATTTTACAGACTAAAAAATTTTTTAGTAAAATTTTGGATGTGCTAGGAACAATTAAAAAAATGTAAAAAAATACCCCCAAAATACTTTGATCTTTTCTCTTAATAATAACAAATATTTAGATGATAATGTTTTGTTTTTGTTGAGTTTGGCGTCTTTTTTGTCATGCTATACTCTTTTTAGCGATCTAATGAAGGTGCCTAAGTTTAATGGACTTGTTAGTTTTTGGGGGGGAGAACAAAATGTTTTGTTACCATTTGATAAAAACAAGTTTTAGATCTGTTAAAACAATCACCTTTCAAAATAACATTTGCCATCAACTTCTTTGAAATTATTTTCCTCTAGACAGGATTCTTTGATTTCATTTTAGCAAAAGATTTGTTCTATATTCTAAGAAAAATTTCAAGCCATGAAGTGATTGAGGTTCTATACTTTCATCATTCTGTTCATTTTTGGAAATGCAGCCACTGAGTTTAGTCAAGTAAATTCTCTTTTAGCATCAACCAGTCAGGCAACCTGATGTTATTTAAAAAAAAAAAAAGGGGGAGGGGGATGGAAAAAGAAAGAAAAATGAAAACTTGTTTTTCTTTTGTTTTGTTTTTTTTTTATTCATGTTTTGTCTTTAAAGTTTTTTTTCTTTCTAATGCCTGCAAAAAGGTTAATAAAAAAAAAAAAAATTAATTAAAAAAAAAAGTTCAAATCACAGGTGACTTAACAAAGGTGGTGGTAGTGGTGTTTGTTTTTTTGTTGTTTTTTTTTCTTCTCCCTTTCCTCACCCCAAACTACTCTGCCCGCTGCCAAAAGAATGCAGTGAAATGGTTTCCATTCTACTAAAATGTCCCTGCACACCTTTCCACCACGCCAGTCAGTTAATGTCCAAAATAAACACGTGACTCCACTGCAAGTCACTGGGAGAGACAAGCAGACAAAGTGAGACTGACCAATAGACGTGTCAGGGGTAGAGGGGGGTATCTGACATGATCTAACAATGACAAGCAGCTTCCATCTTTCCTCTCTTTCTGTCCTCTTTGAATTTCTTAACAGAGGCAGACATTATTTCATATTTTTCACAAAATCCTCTCCTTTCTTGATATTCGCCTCCAATTCCGGAAGGGCCTCTTTTATCAGTTCAACTTCATATTCAATGAGTTTTCCAATTCCAAGATTCTTCTCAACACCATTCGGCTGAAAAAGGTAAAAGAAAAAGAGAAAAAAAATTCAGAATACTCCAAGAACTGTATTTTATTCTCATCATAAATATTTGGTAATGGCCCCCATCAGCTGTTGTTCCAGAAATTTATATAGAAAAAGTAATATGGTCAGTTGATTTAATTTAGCCTTCAATCACCTTCAATGAAAAGTAGCTTTCCTTTAACTGCAACATCAAAGGAGAGCAAGTTGGATAGAGGTGCACCCTAACTTTAATAACCTCCTCCCCATCTTGTAAACAAGGAAACTAGTGAATGATTATATAAAAACAGCAACAATTTACTTACCCCCAGTAGAAGAGGTGTAGAGAAATATTTGACCTCAGTTTCATCAGATCGAACAAAGGCACATTCAACTTTGCCTTCCATTCCAGACAGAGCTTCTAACATGGAGAAGGTAAAACGAGCTCCTGCATAGGCCATAGACAATGTGGCGGAACCCTGAAATAAATACATGATAAATTATGACAAAATAAGTTAAAAAAAAAAAAAAAAAAATTTCACTGCTAATCAGACAGAGTGAGACAGAGACAGACAGACAGAGTGAGACAGAGACAGACAGACAGAGTGAGACAGAGACAGACAGACAGAGTGAGACAGAGACAGACAGACAGAGTGAGACAGAGACAGACAGACAGAGTGAGACAGAGACAGACAGACAGAGTGAGACAGAGACAGACAGACAGAGTGAGACAGAGACAGACAGACAGAGTGAGAGACAGAGACAGACAGACAGAGTGAGACAGAGACAGACAGACAGAGGAGACAGAGACAGACAGACAGAGGAGACAGAGACAGACAGACAGAGTGAGACAGAGACAGACAGACAGAGACAGAGACAGAGACAGACAGACAGAGGAGACAGAGACAGACAGACAGAGGAGACAGAGACAGAGACAGACAGAGTGAGACAGAGACAGACAGACAGAGTGAGACAGAGACAGACAGACAGAGTGAGACAGAGACAGACAGACAGACAGAGTGAGACAGAGACAGACAGACAGAGTGAGACAGACAGACAGACAGAGTGAGACAGAGACAGACAGACAGAGTGAGACAGAGACAGACAGACAGAGTGAGACAGAGACAGACAGACAGAGTGAGACAGAGACAGACAGACAGAGTGAGACAGAGACAGACAGACAGAGTGAGACAGAGACAGACAGACAGAGGAGACAGAGACAGACAGACAGAGGAGACAGAGACAGACAGACAGAGTGAGACAGAGACAGACAGACAGAGTGAGACAGAGACAGACAGACAGAGTGAGACAGAGACAGACAGACAGAGTGAGACAGAGACAGACAGACAGAGTGAGACAGAGACAGACAGACAGAGTGAGACAGAGACAGACAGACAGAGTGAGACAGAGACAGACAGAGTGAGACAGAGACAGACAGAGACAGACAATAAAATCCTCATTTTTCATTTTTGGAACCTGCAAAGATTGTAGAACAGATAAAAACAGGTTTTACATTTACAATCTATTTGGGAATTCAGTAAAAAGTCTTCAGACTGAAATGTTTTTAAACGGCATCACAATTTAATTTATTTCCAAGATTTGGTCATTAATCATTGCATGGCCTTTTTCACAGACAAGCAATATGGCTTTCATTTCTCCAGGTAAACTGCTGATGTACTGACGATATTTGTGGAAAGAGTATCATGTTCTGGATAAAAATGGTGAAGTCTGGACTGTTGCATTGGACATCTTGAAAGCCTTTGACAGAATTTGACATTCAAGGGTCTTTTTCACAAGCTGAAATGTTACAGTATCTTTGGACACTTTTTTGGGGGTTTCAACTGATCCAGCCTTTCCTATCAAATTGTGAAATGAGAATTATCCTGAACAGCCACATGTTTCGTACTAACATCCTCAGTTCTACTCCATTTTTAATTTTCATTAATGACCCTCCTGATTACATCAGCTCTCATCTGGTATCTACGCTGACGACACAATCATTTACTCTTATCTTGATACTAAGTCTGAAAGGTCTGATAAAGTAAAATTGGTGGCTGATGTCAAACAACCTTTTCGTTTGTTGTTAACTGGAGCAAAGTGTTGCTTATTAATTTTAATGCCTCCAAAACAAAACTGCTCCCCATTAATCATCTGAGAGATCCTTCTCTGCCATTCATCAGTATGGCTGATGCTAACCTCCAAGAGAGTGACTTGTTGCGACTTCTCGGGCGAATGTCTTAGGTTGATATGAAGTGGAAAGACTATATTAAATCCATTGCTAGGTCAGATGCTAAAAACTGGTTCACTGTTTTGGGTGAGACAATTTCTCTCTCTCTAGAATATTTTGTATACCTATAAGTCTACCACTTGTCAATACTTAGAATATTGCTGCCATATATTGCCTGGTACACCTTGAGCTCACTGATAAGATCCAAAGAAGAATCTGCAAAATTATTGATCCTGATCTGGCAGCTCAGCTCCAGTCACTTTCCCACCAACGTAAGGTTGATTCTGTGTCTTTTCTATAAATACTTTCATGGCAATTGTTTGAATGAGCTCTTCGCTATGGTATCTTGAGTTTTTGAATTTAAGCACAACACTAGACTGGTGATGAGAACTCATCAATTTATGGTTGAGCCGGGGCAGATGTAACTAAATTCTATGCTAAAAGAATCTTCTCTTGCACTTCTTGCTTGTGGAACTCCTTTCCGGTTCCATGCTTTCCAGTCAACTTTAATCTGCAAAAATTTAAATGTAATGTTAATCGCTATCTACTGCCCAGCTGATTACTCTCTTTTTCTGCTCATCATTGTTTCTGTTCTTAATTCTTCTACACCCTGAGGCCCAGGAGTAGTAAGAAGGCATAGAGCATAAATTGACCAAGTGGGGAACTGAACCACTCAATCACCACCCCACCCCTCGGACTCCCTTACCAATTGTCCAGGTTTCAGATGCATAGACAAGCCAACAAAGAGACACACTAACACAAACCAAATGTAAACTCCCATCACCTCAGTTTTTATGATGAAGGGGAGGGGGACATCTGCTGGCAACAGATTCATTCCACAGGGTGTTCCAAAAGTCATGCGACAATTGGCAGAAAATGTACACTTGGAAAATTTGCATGCCATCTTCCATAATTTGACCAATAAAATTCCTTAATATATTGTCACATAAAGAAATGATTCCATTTTGTAAATAAATTAAAAATTTACAAGGTTATCATCAATGGTAATGCGACTTGTTGCTTGCTTTGATGAACATGATAAAAATGAAAAAGAAATGATTAATTGAAATGAAAGGTGTCATGGCAAAATCAAATTCAATTCAACCTCTTGATATTAGTACGAGGAGAAAGAAATTGATTAAAACTAGGACAAATGCAATTAAATTGGTTTAAAAAGAACAGAAAAGTACTTACTGCTCCAGCTTTGGCTTCCACAACTTCTGTGCCAGCATTCTGGATACGCCGAGATAGACGCTCACGTTCCTCCTGCAAAAAGAAAAAAAAAAGTAGCAGAGGAAACAGTTTACAAAGAAATGAAATATTAAAATCCTACAGAGCAACAATTATCTTTTGATTTTTGCACTGTCAGAAATAAGTTTTTTTTTTTTTTTTTTTTTTGCTCACTGTGTCAAATGTGAATGACAGGTCAGAAGATGATTAGAAAATTCAGAAGAGAGTAAACATTAATGAGCTACAAAAATGGCTCCAACCATGGCAGTTACTAATACAAGTTTTTATGATAAAGGTGTTAAAAAAAAAAAAAAAAAAAAAAAAAGTTTAATGAGATAAATTCCACTTGAGCATAAAATAGGAATCATTTTGCTTTAGGAAATACAAAAAATACAACTTACCTGTGGGAAAGACAGAGGTGGGGTGGTCTGTGAAATCAGTGGGATAATAGTCACACCAGAATGTCCACCAATTACTGGGACACTCACTTTTGATACATCCAGGCCCTGGAAAATTATAAAAAGAATCTGATTGAACAATCATTTATGAGCAAAAGATAACGCAAAATAAGATCACCTTTGTTTTTATTTGTGTGCACAGATGTGAATGGATCATTTATTGATGAGAAGAATTAAGAAAAATTTGCTCTCAGAAGAAATATAATTAAGTTTTTTCACTTCTCCCCCCCCCCAAATTAACTATGTACCGTCATGTATGCAACAAAAGAAAGAAGATAAAGAAAAGCAAATGGAACTATGTTTTATAGTAAACAAAAGTTCTATTATAATTTCAGTGGTATGGGCTTAGTGGTAAGAAGTTAGAAATAGAGACCCAGAACTTTAAAGTATCCTACTGTGTATGAGTGTGCCCACACATCCAAGCAGACATGTACAATCAAGCAAAATAAAATCTTTAAAGACAAGCTGCAGATGAGAGGTCATTATTTTCATCTTCTATGAATGCATCTCACCAACGGAGGAGGGGTGTGTGTGCACAAAATGAGAGACAAGACAAGACAAGTTGTCTTGTGCCATTAAAATTTTTTTTTTCTTTTAACAAATGAAAACCAGAATGTAGTGAATGCAGCTGACGAGGTGGTTTGAATCAATCATTACACAAAGCTTAAGAGTGGAGAAGAAATGTTAATGAAATTTTTTTGTTTAAAAAAAAAAAAAAAAAAAAAAAATCGCCGCCTCTCCTCCTCTGCATCATGATAATTTCAAGTGTGCACGTTAAGAGCCATCAGCAGAAGAGAGATTTTACAGTTGTTGCCCTTGCAGACAAATTTTTAGAGACCCTTTTTGCTAACACCAGATTTAGAGTTTCTAAAGTAATTTGGACTCAACACTTTCGATTTGTTGAAGTTTCAGTGCATGATTAAATGCAAAGTCAACAAAGGAACTTTCTTCATGGAGGAAATGAAAAAGTCAAAAGAATGTTTGGAAAAATACAGAGCATTTAAATGGGGACAACTGCAATTTTATTTAAGAGAAATTTACATCATATTGAGCCAAGTTTCATTATCCTATTCTATTTATTTCAAACAGTTTGTATAGAATTAATAACCCTATGTACCAAGCAACCCTCATAAATGATCCAGGCTGTTAATAAAGAAAAATGATGGTAGAAATAAGACTTCTTTTTTCTTCTTAAATGCAAGTCTTCAGCCACCTCTTATTAATTTTTTTTTTCAAAGTTAGCACCTTTCCCATCTTTATTTTGAAATATTTTAGACTAACCCACTGTTGGCATAAAGACACTGCTCTCTGGCATTGCTTAGGAAGAAAAACTAACCTTTTATGGTAAGAGTAGTTATGTACAGGGCTGGATTATCCTTGAGTCTATTATACGGTGCAACCTATTGCCCCCTCAAGTTTTTATAAAGTTAGGATTTTGATTTTCTAGATTTTCTAAATAGTTTTATAAACTGAAATGATACCAATGATAAACTTTATTTTGATTTTTTTTATTGTTATAATGCTGATTATCAATTCTTTTTTTTATCACTACGGCTGTGTTGAAGTGTGTCAATTTGTTTTGACATAAATCATAAAATAGTAACATGTCTTAAATATTTTTATTGAGAAGCAAAAGACAGCTATTCTAGTTCATTTAATGAATTTGCAAAAATTATACTTAAAGCTATGTAAATGTCACTAAAATATATTACAAGTGTAAAATATACCGGGGAGTTAGAGGGTGTCTAACAGAAGACCTCCCCATCCCTCAATAGGTTATAATCTGGCCTTGGTTATGGACAAAAATAAAATATAGACAAATACACATGGGCCAATGGATTCTGATTGGTCAGTTATTACTATGACGCCTATTTTGAGCAACAATGATCAGATTTGCTAACATTTTAATCCAAAACATCCAACAGTTTCTTCATCTTTCGATAACCTTGTATAGAAGATTAAACCATCTGGAGATTTGTTTCCTCACTGCTACCCCCCCTCCTCTTATTAACAGCATTAAGAAAAATTTTTTTAATTGAACTCAAAATCCATACTTTATGAAGAAAAACACACATTTCCCGCCACTTTGAAAGTTCTACTTACCCTGGCTTCTGCAATAAATGTATTGGCTCGTACGATGTCTAAAGTAGTGATACCAAATATCCTCTTTGGGTCATAGACGCCTCTATTCTTGAAGACTTCTGAAGCAATGGGTACTGTAGAGTTAACCTGAGAACAGACAGACAAGATTTAAATCATGTGCTTTTTGGTTTTTTTGGAGGCAAATAATAAAAAAACAACCACAATATTTGTTTTTAATCGAGATTGCCGAATCAATTGGGGTGGGTGTTTGGAGAGCAGAAAATGCAACCATTCCACTTATTTCTTTGCAATAATCTCTTCAACTGCATTCCTGATGGAAATTGTGTGTGTTTGTGTGCGTGTAAATAAATAAATAAATAAATAAATAAATAAATAAATAAATAAAAGGTATACCATTCTCTTTCAGAAAAATGACATACTAGATATTTCACCTCTTATGAAGGGGAAAAAACCCCCCTAAAAACACTTCTTTTAAATTCCAATGGGAAGTATTATCTGGAAAAGAGAGAACAAATGGAGACACAGGAATTAGCAAGAGGTCATAGAAGTTTTTGCAATGCTCATTTGTCGTTCACTGCAGCTATGATGATATCCAAGGTTGGCTGCGTCTGCATATACACCCAACTTGCTATGTTCACAAATTTGTCTCCTTAGCTGTGATCGTATTCAACAAAAAAATAAAAAAATGCTTTTCAAGACACTGGTTGGGAAATAGGAAAATAGCAATTCAATCAAAGGAAAACAATTGAGAATTCATATTGTTGCTATCTTTTGCTGGTCTCTTCCTTACTCACTGGTTATCTACCTACTTACTTACTTACTTCTGACTTTCTGCCTCTCTGCTGATATGGATACTGGCTGGGGTCTCACACCCTTATCCATCCACTTGTGTTCTGAAAAAGCAGACAACCCAAAAAGCCAGATGGATAGTCAGTTTCTTCAAAGGACTCTACTTTTATGATTATCTAAAATCATTGACAAAATTTTATGTTTGCCAATTCAAAGGCAGCTGGAGACAGAAGTCCTGAAAACCCTGACACTTAAATTGACTCAAAGATGGACTCGAGACAATTTTCCTAAGAAACTCATAATTAAATGGACTTGAAAGGAAAAGAAATTTATCTAGGCATCTCCTAGGGATGTGTTAGAAATCATATTGTTACATAAATATTGAAATCATAGTAAAGATGGACATGTGCAGCATCCCCCTGACTCAACATGAAATATATTGGTTTATTAAGAAAGAGAGACAGAATTTAAACAAATGACTGGTGAAATCAGCACCAAATGAGTCCAGGGATTTGCAGCCAGACTTATCTTAGTATTTGATGCAGAAGAAATTCAATTTGATTCCATACTCAAAAATTATTTCCTCAAAAGAGAAGTCTGTCACTATATTTTTTTTTTATGTCATTCAGGCAGAACCAAATGAAGAAGAAAAAAAAAAAAAAAAAAGTGAATATGCGGACATACTTACAGGGTTGGTGATAATTCCAAGCATGGTTTTAGGGCAGAACTGGGCGCAAGCATCAGCAAGGTTGGCAACAATGGATGCGTTTGTGTTGAATAAATCGTCTCTTGTCATACCTACAAAATAATAAGTCTGGTGTTAGAAAAGCTTCTGTTGCTTTTCTATCTTTATACAAAAGTTTAAGTTACTTTATAAACTAACAAGAATTGACTAATTCATAGTGATATTAATAATCCCCCAGAGGTCAAGGCAGAATGAGTGTTGTCAAAAAAACATAGCATTAATCCAACACCAGAGTTGGTTTACATTTGTCAAACCCTAATGGCTACAAAAACCATTTTGCTGCTATTCTGTATATTGACAGGATAATAGAAACACTGTATATTCAGTGAACTGACTGGTGACTCATGTCGTGCAACTGATCAAAGATGACAAGCAATTGGATGGAGCACAAAGAAAACACCAAGCCATAGTCTTTTATAAGCCAGTGTAGGACTAAATTTTGTCTGTGTCTCCACCTTCCTGGTAGAACAAAAGAACCCACATTAACACATAATGAATGTTTACCAACCAGCCTTATATATATATATATATATATATATATATATATGAAAGGTTTCTGTTAAAGTTTTATTTTTAAATTAATCAGGTTTGTATAGAAACTATATATGCCTTATCAAAACTCAGTCATAACTTTGAAAACCAAGAATGTTCGTAGTAAGCATGGTTGCCATCTGCTATTTCACAGATTTAAATAGGAACTGCCTGATATCCAAATACTTTTAGGTAGTTACGTCAATTTCTTCTTTTTCAAATACTACTACAAATTAGTCAAATGGACCCCCTAAAGTCTTATAGAATTATCTCAGCAAAATCTGCAAGTGTGCCAAATTAATTTCTTTTGTTACATTATTAATATAAATATTAGAAAATGATTAAAATGTTTCTCTAAAATAGCCATACATTGACAGATCGAAACCAAATTTTGGGGGAGAACTCCAAACCAGCAAGGGGGGTCTAAAGTTAAGTTGATTTTACTAGGGTGCATAAAAAACCAAAAGTAGTTTTTTTTTGCCAAGATATTTTCCCAAACAAATCAGCTTATTCAAATTTCATCAATTGGTTTGCAAGATTGAACAAAATGTAGAGTTTACAATCTGAACCAAAAATGTTAGCAATAAGTTCAACAATACTAAATGGTGTGCAGATTTCAACACATGTTGCACAAAAAATTGTTCTAGTATTTTCAAAGTTACCATCATGATTACTACAGGAATCTTTCTCATTCTCTAGTTTAAGAATATTAGAGAGAGAAAAAATCACACAACTTACCTGGTTTCCTGGGAACACCAGCAGGAATAAGGACAATATCTGCACCTGTAACAGCGGCTTCAAGTTCACTCGGTCCCATATGACCCGTTACTTTGGCTTTGGTTTCAATATGGCTAAGATCTGCAGCCACACCCGGTGTGTGGGCAATATCATACAGTGCCAAGTGACTCACTAAGGGGGTGTTTTTCAAAAGCAAGGACAGTGGCTGACCAATCCCACCAGCTGCTCCAAGAACACATACTTTGGCATCTTTCTGAAAAATATAATTAAAAATAACCAATAAAAAAATCTGCCATTTCATAGTTTATTGTTGTAATAATAATACAAAAGACTAAATGCAATGTAATATAATTGTTATTAAAAACAAATAAATGCATGTCTAAATGTTAAATATTTTAAACTAAGGTCTACCATCTTTTCCGATTTTTAGAGATTGAAAGAAAAACAAAAAAACAAAAACCTACCTATTCTGTTCCTGCAGTAATTTATGAAAGTGTGATGAAGAATGTAAATGGCAGAGCATGATGGGAGTTTAACAGACAGGCAATCGCCTCCTCCTCCCATCCAATGACATTTTTGCAGGAAAGATAGATTCTCAAAAGGGGCTCAAGTATTAAATAGACATGTTAATATTGCATACATAATTACATGTGTGTAGCATATTGGTCATAGTAAATGAAAACTCAAAATCAGTGAGTTTTGAGAATTATCAGAATACATAAAGACGGCAAAAGAACAGTGTCTGATTGATAACGAATATTTTTTTTTAATTACTTTCTTGGTAGATTTCTTCAGATGCATTTTTTTGTGTCTTGGTCTCAATTTATTTTACCCCAAGACTTAATCTATAGACTAAAAAGTAATTTAATCCCATAAGTATTTTTGGGAAGTGTTGGCTTTGGCATCTTAAATGAAAGTCACTTTCCTATTTATCTATAATTTATTCAAGCTGCCTCTGAGACAGTAATGAAAGGTGATGGACAGGTAGGGACCTAGAAAGAAATGCAGAACAAGTTTCCAGAACCTATCAAATATTAAAGGTCAAACCACAAGGACAGTTAAGGTTGCCAAATGGCTTGTTTCACCATACACCCCAAATCATTATCACAAGTTTATATCCTGTCAGTAGTTTAATTGATTATCTTAATGGGTACATCAAACTGCTTATTGTCTCTTTGTACATTGGGAATTATTATGAACTTGAGAGGCATTGTGATTAACAAAGATGAGAAATTTCTCTACTGTAAAAACAAAGTTTCTCCTTTAAAAATTAAAGGAGCATCACTAGCTCTCTGCTTGTCCCAGCATCTTAATCACACTTGTTTCTGTATCTCTTTATACAGTCTCTAAAATTTGGGTCCCATATATTTCAAAGTGTCAGCAATATGCCAAGAGTTCACCATTACATATCTGTGACCAAAATGAAAGATGGCAATGATTTGTCTGATTCATTTAAGCCCCAGCAATTCAACACAGCCAACTAAAAAAATTTTTTTTTAACAATGGCTGACTGGCTGTGTGCATAAAATAAACAGAATTGGATTTGACTTGTTCACATAGAAGATGCAGAGATTGTTCAAGATGAAATTAAAAATCAAAAGCTAAGAACTATTTCATGGCAACTAATCGATTCAATAATCCAACCTTAGATTTTCATCATAAATCTATTCAAAGTCAATATTAAAACATTTGTCACAAATCAGTAATTGAAATCTTACATAGAATCAGTAGATGCAATGTTGATAACATTAATGTTAGAAACCGTGTGTGTGTGTGTGTACATATATATTTCATTAAAGACGATTGACAAGGTACTGGGATTAAGCTTTTCCATTTAATTTTTCTTGTGTTTGTACAAGTGGTTTCTTTTTTGACTATAGCTCTATTAGGACTCATTTAGACACATACCAAAACCTACCAGACACCACACAAAACATACTAATAAAAGATTAAAAATAATGGAAGCCCTAATAACAAAGAAATGCATTAATTATGAACACAGCCATAATGTGCTGACAGCGTTTGGAAAATAAAAAATTCCTCTAACTCTAGATACATACATAACACAGCCTATGCATTCAGTTAAAAGTAAAGATAAAATCACCCTTGATAACAAAGTATAGCTGAAAACATTCAGATATGCAGAACATTTGAACAGTTTTTTTATACACTATGTCCATAAATGAAAATTACATACAATATAATACATATTACTTATAATACATTCCTTTTTGCAGTGAATTTTGATAGCAAAAAGGTACACTTGTGTGTGTGTGTGTGTGTATATATATATATATATACATATATATATATATAAAGTTTTGTTGAGAATGACAAGGTGCAGTGGTTGAGTTTTTTGTTTTTATATATATATATATATATATATATATATATGTGTGTGTGTGATTGTGTTTGGAAAATAAAACCTTCCTATAACTCTAGATATATACATAAAACAATGTATATATTCAGTTAAAAGTAAAATAATATTCATCAATGACAACTGCTAAAAGTATAACCAAAATCACTAGGAAAACATTCAACCAATTTTTATATAATTTATGTCCTGAAAAGAAAAAAAATTCTATGAACACATGAGAAATCACATTAAAAAAAAAATGCAACCACGACATCTTGTTGGTTGTTTTCAATTTACACAAAAAGAAGAATTGCTGCCCAAATACAATATTTTTCTTCTAGTAGAAAAAAAATCTTTTCCTGAAGCTAATGAAACATATCTATCACAGAATTGAGGTGAACAAAGCTTGAAAATCCTTAAGCCTCAGCATTCGAATTTAGTCAGTGCCACATTTAAAGAGAAACCAAAAATTTACTGTTGGGTAGCACATACATACTGCTTACTAATTGTTTCAATGCATAAATCAATGCATAAATCAATGCATAAATCCAAATCTCGCACTCTTGGAAAATAAATTTGCCAATTGGGATTGATTGTACACCAGATAGCAAACAGTTGCTTTACTCCAATGGTTATCAAGTTGCACTCTGTTTTGCTCAACTGATCTCCTTGAGTTTTTATTTAAGGAAAAAAAAAAAAAAAAAAAAAAAAGTTAAGTAACTTTGTTCATTAATAATAAAAAAAATCTAGTCAAACTATCTTCCTATTTGAAATTTTTTTTTTCTGTAAAGAAATATCCCAGAGAACTTAAATAAGTTCTAAAAAAGTTCTTTAGAAATGAATAGTTCATTTTTAGAATAGTTTTTTATTTATGAAAATGGGCCGTAATTTTTAGAACTGCATAAAAAAAAAAAAAGTTAAATCTTTTCACATTACTGAATAATTAAAAAGTTGTCATTATTTAGCCTCATGTATGTAAAATGTTTAATTGTTGTGTTGCTTAAAAAATGTCAGTAAAACTCACAGAACCAGAAAGAATTTAACTATTGCAATAATACTGTTTCTGCACTTAGTCCCCCACTCCCAATTATAAGCAAAGACTGGTATTCAATGAAAACATCAAGTGATTGATTTTGTAACTGATCAACTGTTTGCTGGGTATTTAAAACCAAAACATGATTTTTCTAATTGTAAAAATAATTATTCCTGTGAGCGAATATTGCATTAACAATGTTAAGGATAACCAGGATTTTGAGATACATGTCCTATTTAAATCATAGCTGGAGGAGGAGATCAATGAAGAAAATTGTTGCATAACTTGATAAAGAAATTTTTTTTTTTTTTTTAAAAACATTTCAAGTTTTATCCATTCCTATAAAGAACCAAAAAAAAAAAAAAAAAAAAGAAAAAAAAGTTGCATTTAATTTTGTGTAAACTGTAGGGGTCAGGTAAATAGCAATAGAGAGGGTTAGAAATAAATTGGGCCTTCTTGACCGAAAGATTAACCATGGCTGAAGAAGAAATGCAGGCAATATCCTGTTAAATATTTGTCCTATGGTTTTATTCCATCCACAGAGAATGCCAGAGAAGCAATCATGTCTCATGTGGATGAGAGAACTGTCAAATGAAGCCATCTAAGCTTTAAAACCATTTGGAGACCCAGCACAGAAGGAAATGAAAGCCATGATGATTTTCAAGCAAGAAAAACATTTAACAAAGAAAGTAAAAGAAAAAAAAAGGTTTTAATGGCATTTTAGGAGAATTCAAAGAGAATTACAAAAGCAAGAAAGTGCCATAATGGCAAGGCTGGAATTCTGTCAGCAGGATCTGTCAGAATTTCAATTGTAATGAATCAAAGACACCGACTGAGAAAGTTATCAGCATAAAAATAAAACGATAAGAAATGAGTGAGGACATAGAAAAGCAACTAGTTGATCCAATTGCAATTGAAAAGGGTTTTACCCTTCACACTTGAAAATTTTGAAAGAGAAAGTCCTTGTATTCGCAGGTGTCATGTTTCTCGATATGTTTTCAAACCATACACTAAAGGCAAAATAATTTTCAAAGACAATGTCATTCATTTTAAGGGTAGCAACATTCAACTGAATCAATGTAACTAATGGTGTGTTTCATCCACGGTAGGAAGAGAGAGAGAGAGAGGTTCCATTGCATTCATGATGAAAGATTCTTTACCCAAACATATTTTGCATACATTGCATGATCCACTGGCAATACTTTGTTGCAAAACAATAGAGTGGATATTCACATGATGCCATAATTATAATAAATGCTGCCAGCCTTATTAAATGAAACTCTTCAAAACTCTCATTCACAAACTTTGTAGACAGAATGATGAAAAGAGTTGTGAACATCTTGTAAGATATGCAAAGGCAAGATGGTTATCGAAAGGTAATTATTGTTTAGTGGCATTTTGGAAATATGTTGCTTCATTTTTGCCAAGCAATCAGATGAGAGAACAACTAGTTTCTGGGAGAAGATTAAAAAAAAATAAATAAAAATAATAAAAAAAATATAAGTAAAATTAACTTCAGCAATTGCAAGGGGAACAATGTGATCAAATGTCTTACAAAAGAGATCTTGCCATTTTCCTTGGGAAAACATTTAAGCTCTTCAAAGAGATAATTAGCAGTTTCCATGTCTGGCATCAATTAGCAATTAATTGTAAAATAATATTACTGCATATGTTGAAGGATTTAAAATAAAATATACACATATACAAGATATAAATATGTCACTGTGCAACAATTCCATTTGAATTTAATGCTGCTGATGATGTAGACATTACTTTACAAAAGAGTCTCATTGAATTATTCAAGAATGGGAAACAGAATAGATGGAAAAAGTAATGAGACCATTAACAAATATCTGCTGTT